CGGCCCCGTCGCCGCCTCCAGCGGCCCCGTCGCCGCCACTTGCGGCCCCGTCGCCGCCCCCTTTCGGCCCTTCCTCGACCCTGCCCCGGCCCCGCCCCGGCCATGCTCCGTCGCCAGTCGCGGCGCACCGGGGGCACGTGCACCGCCCCCCCCCCCTTTTTCCGTCGCCTGTCGAGGCGACCTGAGGGGGCCGGGGAGGGGGGCGAGCGCCGCCCCTTCTGCCGCCTGTTTTGGCGCCCTGGGAGGCCGCGCGTCGCCCCCCCCCCCCCCCCCCCCCCCGTAACCTCCCTACCCGCCGTCCCGCCCTGCCCTGTGTTAGGGTTTGGGGGTGGCGAGTAGGGGGTGGCGGGTGTGTGGTCTCCCCTGCTCCTCCTCCTCCTCTGTCTCCCACTGTTGCAGCTGCCGCTGAGGGGGGTGGGTGTGTGGGAGTCGACGGAGTGGTGCTAGGGGGTGGGGTGTGAGTGAACCTAGGGTGCAGCAGGGGGTGTGTGACAGGGGGGTGCTGTGGGAGTAGAACTAGGGTTTGAGCAGGGGGTGTGTGTCGAGAGGTGTGGGGCAGTTGGAGGAGGTTGTGTGAAGGTAGCTGTCGTGTCGCCTGCAGCGCCTGTAGTCCGTCGCCCTTGCTTCGGTAGCCAGTGAGCCTGTTGCACCAGTCGCCAGTGGGTCCGTTGCTCCTGCCGCTCGTCTATAGCCGCGGAGCCAGTTACTCCAGTAGTCCGTCGCCCTTGCTTCGGTAGCCACTGAGTTAGCCGCTCCTGTGCCCGTGCCTCTGCAGCTTCAGTCGTTGCCTCCCATCTTCTCTCCCTCCACAGTTCCTCCTCCTCCTCACTTGCCCGCTGTGATTAACTCTAGCTTTGCTCCCTATTGTGAACTCCTGCTCTATGCCTGCTTGCTCATTGTGCTGATTACACCCCACTTTGGCTATGGGGGTGTGTCAGACTGTTATAATTGTCTAGCCTGTAGTGGGGTACTCTATAGCGAGTACAACCCAATTAGGGTTTCCTATATGTATGCCAACTGCTGCTAGTGCAAACCCTCCTCTCTTCTTTTCATTCCTCATTCTTCACAAAAATTGACTGCTCCATGATCTTCACAGGTGCGGCTGTTTTCGAGTCTCGGGGCTACAAACGTCTGAAACGAGGTTTTATTCGGGTGGCCCATGTTCAAATATACCTTCCAGGGCAACTTCAGCTTGATTCGCGCGCACCGAAAAGTTCGGCGCCCGCGATGATGGTCGTGCCTGCCGACAAATGCTAAGGAAGCGCGTGGATCCGTACAGGCGTAGGGAAAAGCATCCAACGACCCGAGTTCTTTTGCATATTCGGGTGGCCCATGTTCAAATACACTTTCCAGAGCAACTTCAGCTTGGTTCGCGCGCACAGAAAAGTTCGGCGCCGCGATGACGGCCGTGTCTGCCGACAAATGCTAAGGAAGCGCGTGCATCCCTACAGGCACAAGGAAAAGCATCCAACGACCCGAATTTTGTTGCAAATTCGGGTGGCCCATGTTCAAATACACCTTCCAGAGCAGCTTCAGCTTGGTTCGCGCGCACAGAAAACTTCGGCGCCCGCGATGATGGCCGTGCCTGCCGACAAATGCTAAGGAAGCGCGTGGATCCCTACAGGTGTAGGGAAATGCATCGAACGACCCGAATTTTGTTGCATATTCGGGTGGCCCATGTTCAAATGCACCTTCCAGAGCAGCTTCAGCTTGGTTCGCGCGCACGGAAAAGTTCGGTGCCCGCGATGGCGGCCGTGCCTGCCGACAAATGCTAAGGAAGCGCATGGATCACTACAGGCGTAGGGAGAAGCATCCAACGACCCAAATATTGTTGCATATTCGGGTGGCCCATGTTCAAATGCACCTTCCAGAGCAACTTCAGCTTGGTTCGCGCGCACGGGAAAGTTCAGCGCCCGCGATGACGGCCGTGCCTGCCCACAAATGCTAAGAGAGCTCATGGATCCCTATAGGTAAAGAGAGAAGCATCCAATGACCCAAATATTGTTGCATATTCGGGTGGCCCATGTTCAAATATACCTATAAGAGCAACTTCAGCTTGGTTCGCGCGCACAGAAATGTTCGGCGCCCGCGATGACGGCCGTGCCTGCCCACAAATGCTAAGGAAGCGCGTGGATCACTACAGGCGTAGGGAGAAGCATCCAACGACCCGAATATTGTTGCATATTCGGGTGGCCCATGTTGAAATGCACCTTCCAGAGCAACTTTAGCTTGGTTCGCGCGCACGGGAAAGTTCGGCGCCCGCGATGACGGCCGTGCCTGCCCACAAATGCTAAGAGAGCGCATGGATCCCTATAGGTGTAGGGAGAAGCATCCAACGACCCGAATATTGTTGCATATTCGGGTGGCCCATGTTCAAATATTCCTATAAGAGCAACTTCAGCTTGGTTCGCGCGCACAGAAAAGTTTGGCGCCCGCGATGACGGCCGTGCCTGCCGACAAATGCTAAGGAAGCGCGTGGATCCCTATAGGCGTAGGGAGAAGCGTTCAGCGACCCGAATATTGTTGCATATTTGGGTGGTCCATGTTCAAATACACTTACCAGAGCAACTTCAGCTTGGTCCACGCGCACATAAAAGTTCGGCGCCAGCGATGACGGCCGTGCCTGCCAACAAATGCTAAGGAAGTGCGTAGATCCATATAGGCGTAGGGAGAAGCGTCCAACGTCCCGAATGTTGTTGCATATTCAGGTGGCCCATGCTCAAATACACCTACCAGAGCAACTTCAGCTTGGTTCGCGCGCACAGAAAAGTTTGGCGTCTGCGATGACGGCCGTGCCTGCCGACAAATGCTAAGGAAGCGCGTGGATCCCTATAGGCATAGGGAGAAGCGTCCAACGACCCGAATGTTGTTGCATATTCGGGTGGCCCATGTTCAAATACACTTACCAGAGCAACTTCAGCTTGGTCCACGCGCACATAAAAGTTTGGCGCCCGCGATGACGGTCGTGCCTGCCGACAAATGGTAAAGAAGCGTGTGGATCCCTATAGGCGTAGGGAGAAGCGTCCAACGACCGAATGTTGTTGCATATTCGGGTGGCCCATGCTCAAATATACCTACCAGAGCAACTTCAGCTTGGTTCGCGCGAACAGAAAAGTTCGTCGTCTGCGTTAAGGAAGCGCGTGGATTCCCATAGGCGTAGGGAGAAGCATCCAACGACCCGAATGTTGTTGCATATTCGGGTGGCCCATGCTCAAATACACCTACCAGAGCAACTTCAGCTTGGTTCGCGCGCACAGAAAAGTTCGGCGCCCGCGATGGCGGCCGTGCCTGCCCACAAATGCTGACATTAGTACTGGCGAATGAACCATGCCTGCTGCATTTTCTGCACATGTGCGGATCCTTCCGCATTTTGGGGATGAAAACGCTCGTTACGAGCGTTGTTCTTCCGTTCAGTCACGCCCCTGTATGCGTTTGGACCTATTACCAAGCCAGCAAGAGCGTGGGAGGGTGGCGAGCACGATCGGTCATTGGTACTGGCGAATTAATCATGCTTGTGCACATGTGCGGATCCTTCCGCGGTTTGGGGATGAAAACGTTCGTTCCGAGCGTTGTTCTTCCGTTCGGTCACGCGCCTGTATGCGTTTGGACCTATTACCAAGCCAGCAAGAGCGTGGGAGGGTGGCGAGCACAATCGGTCATTGGTACTGGCAAATGAACCGTGTCTGCTGCATTTTCTGCACATGTGCGGATCCTTCCGCGTTTTGGGTATAAAAACGCTCGTTCCGAGCGTTTTTCTTCCGTTTGGTCATGCGGCTGTGAGCGTTTGGACCTATTACCGTACCAAGCTACCAAGAGCGTGGGAGGGTGGCTAGCATGATCGGTCATTGGTACTTGGCTTCTTCCCTTGTGCAGTTTCATGCTTCACCCCATCTGCCTTGTCCAACCCATGCCTAGAGCAGGGTCAGGTACTGTAACCATAATCCATTGTTACCGTATGTCAAGACAAGATACTCAAGGAGGGCTGCACTTTCTGTGCGAGACTCTAGACTTCATTGCAATGTATTTGCTTCCAGCCAAAGGTACGTTGGATTGTTCTAGTGGACCGATGCGGTACTTGTTTGTGCAAGTGCAAAGCAAAAAACATAAGTTTTCTCTGCACTCTTGGCTTTATGTGACCTACAGGTATACCTGAAATAGATAAATGTTAGGACAATTGCAGCAACGGGAGGGGAACGGTGGCTGTGCGGGATAGGCTCCTAACCAGGACCCTCCAGGCTGCTTCCGCTGCTGCAAAGAGCGCGGGGACTTGCGGGGAAAGGTAGGGCAGCAGGGGTCTCGCCACCCTGATACAGTCACGCAGGAGCGTTCCGAGCGTTTTCATCCCTAGAACGCGGAAGGATCCGCACATGTGCAGAAAATGCAGCAGGCATGGCTGTTGCCGTGATGAGTTGGATTTTGCAGTGGAAACGAGGCTTTGCTCTATGATGAATGAATTTAAATTTATACCCATACTAAACGAAATACAATGCATACCGTATAGGTACGCTACACTAAAAAGGTACGCTACACTAAATACAACAGTGGGGACCGGACTGAGCTGTCATGCTATTACTGCCAGTAACAGCTCAAGCACACCCAGCTACGCATGCCATGCCGCCAAAGAGACAAAACCAAATACGCGCAGCACAGACAAGCAGTGCACAAACTGCAGTTGACTACCGTATGTTTACTTAGACATGACCACTTCACCAAATAGCAGGTCCGTAATCTCAGAAGGGAATATGTTACACTTTTCGTAAGTGGGGAGGGCAGGCTGTGAGAGGGGAGGGCTGGCTGGCTGTGAGTGGGGAGGGCTGAAGAGAGTGGGAGCTTGGCCCCCAGCAGTGCAGCTAGAGTGGAGAGGAATCGAGTGCAGCTTGCTGCTTCCCCAGCTAAGATACTTGATGGCGATACAAGGAAGTGAGCTGCAGCTGAACGTGGGAATGAAATCAATGGCTTGGTGGAGAAGCCTTGGCAGATGAATCATGGATGTGATAGAATTATGCTATTGGTGGGCGGGAAAATGCAGATTTGATTCTCTGGCGGATTTGGAACCGGGAGCCTGGGGGAGGGAGATTGGGCGCATGGGGAGGGGAAGGGCCAGGGAAAGTGCATGGGCAGGGAGAAAGTAAATTTTGATTGAGAGGAAAGAGCAGACTTTGATTGACTCGAGTCAAAGAATGGGCGAATGGGGGAAGGAGGGCAGGAAGGAACAAACTGACAACGCAAACTATCATCAGACTTCAACAATGGATCTGGAATGCTCATGAAATCCCACCAGGAAACCGCCTCTCCCCTCCCCCCCTCTCGTTCCCTCACCCATACCTTTCCGCTGGTGGCCCTCCCCTCCCGCCCCCTCGTGCCTCTCTCCCTCCTCCACCTCCCCATGCGCCTTGGGGCCTGTGATGGGCGGTGGGTGCTGCATCGCATTGTACTCTGCCTCCAGCTCCCTTAGCCGCTCTGAGACCTGGGAGGACAAAGAGGAGCATCGAACACAGCAGAGGGAGGGGCATTGCACACAGATGGTGCTGCATCGCATTGTACTCTGCCTTTAGCTCCCTCAGCCGCTCAGAGACCTGCAAGGACAGAGGGGCAGGGAGATTACACACACTCTGTCTCCCCATGGGTCTTGGGCACTGCTTTTGAGAGCTCTCAAAAAGGTGGCGGGTGCTTCATTGCCATATACTCCACCCGCCTCCAGATCCCTCAATCCCTCCGATTCCTTCAAACCCTAAATCTCAACCAAATTTCTAACCCCTGAATCTCCCACCGAATACATTGAAGGAGACGGCGACGTTGAGCAGTGTGTCTGGCTCCAGGATGCAATCAGAAAGGGAGTGATGCGACAAGAAAGGCAAACTCTGAACCCAGACGTTCACACCCTAACCCTCAACCCCTCTAGTGCGTACATTGAAGGAGAAGGCGACGTTGAGCAGTGTGTCTGGCTCCAGGATGCGGTCCGGGTACGTCCTGAGGGCCGGCACGAGGTCCTCAAAGGGCATCTGCAGCTGTTGGGGGGTGGGAATGAGGCATGGTTGTACCAAGGAGTTCGAGGGGTGAGAAGGCGACGATGGGAAGTGTGTCTGGCTCCAGGATGTGATCGGGGTACGTCCCGAGGGCCGGCACGAGGTCACCAAAGGGCATCTGCAGCTGCAAGGGAGAATGAAGAGAAGAGGGGTCATGTAAAAAAACAAGTTTCGGGGTTAATCAACGTAGAAGTGGGGTGAAAGCAAGAGCAAGGCATGGGAGAAAAGGGTGCACATGAGGAGCGGGAGAAGAGACGGAGAGAGAGAAGACTTCACGTCAGTGCGTGGGGAGGCAGGGCATACCAGATCGTCCTGTTGCTGCTTCAGCAGAGCCAGTCCCACCCGGAACACTGTCTTCATGCCCTGCCATGGGGGGAGGGGGGAAGGGACAAGATACTCATCGTCTCTTCTTACGCAGAAATCTTAAACCCAACCAACCAAGACTACACAGGGATCGACAAGGACGGGCCCTCCCTCACCTCGAGGAGGATCGCGTCCTCGCCTTCCATGTACGCGTCGCAGTATTCGGAGGTGTAGGCGAACATAACAGTATTCGGAGAGCAGTTGCGAAGGGGAAGCTGTGGGCGAAAACAGTGATGAACCACTGAGACGCGTACATGGATAGCGTCACTCCCTCGCCTCCCCCCCAAGAACACTAGTTGAAAGGAGGGCAGTTCGTGCCTCACCTCAAACAGGAAAACGTCCCATATTCTCAGGGTGGTCGCAAAAGGGAAGCTGTAGGCGAAGACGGTGATAAACCACTGCGACGCGTACATGGAGGGCGTCACTCCCTCGCCCTCCATGTGCCGTGCGAGCTGTGGCAGGCACTCGTGTAAGAGGCGGTCGAACTGGAAGAGGTACTGTTGGACCAGCGGCAGACCCACCTGGGATGGGTAGAGAAGGGGATGAGACGAGATGGGGGACAAGGGATGAGAGATAGGCAGGCACTCGTGTAAGAGGCCGTCGAATTCGAAAAGGCACTGCTGCACAAGAGGCAGAACCACCTGGGAGAGGTGGGAGAGAAGGGGGAAGAAAAAGGGGATCATGGGGTGTGATAGAGCGATGAAGACCGTGGCAGGCACTCGTTTAAGAGACAGACACAGAAGGATGAGGTACTGCTGGAGCAGCCGCAGGCCGTTACGGCAGGAACTTAAGAGGAAAGTTCATGGCACTTACGAGGAAGATTCCTTCGAGTGACGTGTGGTTAGCACCCTTCATGAGCGCCACGAGCAGCCAGAAGGCGTCCTCCTCCGCCATGTACAGCAGCATGAGACCAGCAATAAAACCCATGCCCTGGTTGGGTTGACGAGCATGTACGGGAAAAAGTGTTGGTGTATGAGTGCAGCGAACGCCACGAGCAGCCAGAAGGCGTCCTCCTCCACCATGTATAGCAGCATCAGCCCCGCTATGAAGCCCATGCCCTGAGAACGAGAAGGGGAGGCACACACGAGAAGCAGAGCCCAATGCATGAGCGCCACGCCACACAGCAGCAGCCAGAAGGCGTCCTCCTCCGCCATGTAGAGCAGCATGAGCCCCGCTATGAAGCCCATGGCCTGAAAGGGGAGTTGGCGATCACGGGACGAAGGGAGGAGGAGGTGCTTTCAGAACATTGAACAGCGCCCTCTGCCCCGGGCCGTGCTTCTGCATCAAGTAAATGTGCGTGGCGAAGGTGCTATGCGGTTGATGCCTCTCATCCTCTCACCTGCACGAACCCAAACGTACCTAACCTTCTCACCCTCACCTGCACGTATCCAATCTTCTTGCCGTAAACGCTCCATGCTTTAAAGAGTGCTCGCTGCCCCGGGCCGTGCTTTTGCATGAAGTAGATGTGTGCGGGGTAGGTGCATGTGGTTGATGCTTCTCATCCTCTTACCTGCACTGCGCATACTTACTCTTCTTACCCTCTCACCTGCACGTACCCAATCTTCTTGTCGTAAACGCTGTATGCTTTCAGCACGTTTGAACAATGCTCTTTGCCCCAGGCCGTGCTTTTGCATCAAGCATACGTGTGCGGGGAAGGTGCGGTTGATGCCCCTCATCCTCTTCTTACCTCCACGTACCCACCTCACTCTTCTAGCCCTCACCTGCACGTATCCAATCTTCTTGTCATACACGCTGTATGCTTTGAGCACGTTAAAGAGTGCTCTCTGCCCCGGGCCGTGCTTCTGCATGAAGTAAACGTGTGTGGGGAAGGTGCGGTTGATGTCTCGAATGATGTCCATCTCGTTGTTGGATAGCTCGTACAGTAACATGTGCTGCCAGTAACGAGGATAAAGGAAGAGAGAGGACAGCAAGCAGGGGGGCGGAGTGGGAAGACGAAAGCGGGGTGAGGGATGGCCAATCGAGAGGGCACTTTCGTGCTCTCTTTTCTGATATGTGTTCTATACTGGTCAACATTACCTGCAACATAGTGAGCAAGAGCTGAGCTGATCCGTACCTTGTAGGCTTGCATTGCAGACAGCAGCCAGCAGCAGCACACAACACACACTACAAACCGCACATGTACCAGAAGACACCACATGTACACGGACCGGAGAACTCATAAATCACACCAACCACGCACCTCATACGCGCCTTCATTCATCAACAGGAACTCCCGGCTACCAGACAAAAGCTGCCACACGATCCCACGCAGGCAGTCCGGCACGCCTTGTCTTATCCGCTTCTTGACCTCCCGGGGGTGCTTCCTCTGGTAGAGGTTCCAGTCCATGGGCCCCAGACCAATCATAGCTCGCCACCTGCGCACCTCCCTCTCCTCCCTGATGGGTTGCGAGTGGAAGGGAAGGGGGAGGAGACAGAGGAAGAAAGGGTGGCATTTGAGTCAGCCCAGGAGTAACAGAGAAACAGGGAGGAGGAGAAAGAGGAAGAGGGGGGAGATGATAGGCACATCTGAAGTAAGGAAGGGAGCGTGAGGAATGCGAGGTCAGGAAACAAGCCGATTGCTTGACACACTACCGTTCATCTGCTTTAATAACAGCAGCAGATAACGGCAACACACAAAAGAGGTTGTCACGGCTCATGTGACACACACAAACCCACCGCTTACTCGACACTAAGAAGCGCAGTATCGAAATTTTAAAGTCAACCGCTTCCTTACTTGATGAACAAAAGCCGTTCTTCTTTCTCCAGCAACCTAGCCTGCGGACCATGTTATTGAAGCACCTCATTGATGCACTCTTACTTACTTGATAAACAACAGCCGCTCCTCCTTCTCCAACAAGCTTGCCTGCGGAGGATGCACCCCTGCCACCCCTCTCACCTCCTCGCCTCCCCCAGACCCGTCCCTCCCCTCCCCCTCCTCCGCCACAAATCCATACCGATCCACCACAGCAGGCATGTCCATAGGCTCGGTATCAAACTCCACAGCTGCAGCTTCGGTAAGAGGCCCGCGCTTGTGCCACTCTATCCCGTCCTTATCCCGGTAGGTTCGGGTCGACAGCGTTGCTTCGGCTTTCTTCCCCAGGGAGGCCAGGGTCGGCGGCAGGCTCGGATTTGCGGCTTCGGCAGCGGCTGCAATGGCGGCGGCTGTTCCGGCGCGTGGTGACGATACTGGGTCGTGTTGTAAAGGGGATGATGATTGGCTGTGGTGGTTGTGGCTGGATTCGGAAGGCTCAGTGCCCTCGGTAATGGTCTCCTGTAAACCACCCACCTCATACTCACTCATGTGAGGACTCCCCCCTCCTCCCCCCTCACTCGCCGCCCCACTCCCCTCCTCACTCCCCTCCCCACTTTCCTCCTCCGCACTCTCCTCCCCACGCACCCTGTTGTCCTCTCCATCATCCACATCAGACAGAGGGCTGCTCCCCCCTAAAGGCGATCTGCCGATCCCAGCAGGAGTGGACATGGCCCTGGGGAAACGAGCCATCACTCTCCTCCGCCCCGCGCTTGAGCTTTGCTGTATGCTCTGCTCTGCACTCTGCTCCTTGTCATTCTCATCGCCCTTCTCTTCGCTCTGCTCCACAGCCTCCTCTAAGTCTGCCAGTGCTGCTGCTGCCGCTCTTGCTGCTTCTCCATCCCCTTGCTGCCCAGCAGATAGAACCTCCACACCACCTGCACCAGCACCGTCGTTACTACCACCAGCAGCAGAAACAGCAGCAGCAGCGGGAGCAGGAGCAGGAGCGGGGGGAAGCCCAGCATCTCGAGGCATGGAGAAGAGAGGCGAGCGAGGGCCCTGCTGCTGCAGCCCCACAGGGAACGACTGATTCGACAGCTGCCGCCGGTGCTGCCGGTTCTGCACGTGCAGGGGCGGCAGGTTGTGCGGCAGGATATGGTGTGGGTAGTACGGGGATTGCATGAGAGCGGGGTCTAGGGGGGACGAGGCAGTGGAAGACATGGTGCAGTCGATTGAAACGGTTGGGCTCGGTTCATAACGTGCTGTCTGCCATCTCTCCCCGTCCCCTCCCCCGCTGGCTCTCCTCCAGTGCGGCACGTGCACGGCTGCTCCTCCCCCGCAGCTTCCCCGCTGCACCCGTGCTTCTCCCACCGTTCCTCCTGCTGCTGCGGCTGCTGCTGCGCCTCTCCCTCTCCCTCCTCCTTGCCTTGCTTCTTCCTGTAACCTTCTCCTTCGGATGATAGCGCTGCCACTGCTTGCTGACCGTCTGGCCAACGCTCCTCCCTCCTCGTCCTCGTCCGCTTCTTCATCTCCTCTCAAGCTCTCTTCTTCTTCCTCCTCCTCCTCCTCGTCTTCTCCTTGCTCCTCTAGAGCAAAATCCGACCCTCGTTCCTCCCGATCCCCCTCCTCTTCCCCACTCCCCCCGCCTCCCCCCTCTCTACTTCCGCCCCCCTCTCCCCTCTCTCCGCCAACTCCCCCACTCTCGTCCCCTCTTCCGCCGCCTCCCCTGCTTTCCCCAACCCCTTTTCCCAAATCCCCGTCCAAACCAGTGCGACCCCCACCACTGCCACTGGCAGCATTACCCGCTTGCATAACACCCCCTATAAGCACACCTTCTACAGTAACCCCACTGTACACTGCCCCATCCCCCACCCCTTCAAGTCCCCGTTTCACCTTTCTGGTTAACGGAGCACGCTTCAACGCGCCAGGGACTAGCTTAGGTGGAATCGCCAACGCAGCAGCTGCAGCACGAGCAGAGCTCGCCGACCCTTTCTCAATCGTCTCCTTTCCCTCTAATCCCTTGTCTTCCCCCTCTGCTCCACCCCTTTTTCCACCCTCTCCCCCAGTCTCCCCTTGGTTTTCCTCCCCCACTATACCTTCCCCGTCCTCTTTCCGCTGCTGCGCCATTGCAAAGGCCTCAAGGCTCTTCCTTTCCCGCCCAAACCCGCACAGCGCGTGATGCACCCTACGCCTGTGCATCTCCTCCAACCAGAGCGCGCCACTTGTCCTCGTCACAATAATCGCGAAATCCGACCGTCCAGATGCGTCCAGCCATCCCACACGAGTGCTCGCCCCTCCCACGTTATCCCCGCCCATCCCCCCCCCGCCCCTACTTCCCCCTCTCCCTTCCTGATGGTGCGGTCGCCCCATCCACTCCCCCCACCGCAATTTCTCTCCCCCCGTTCCGCCACCCTTTCCCCCGCCCGCTCCCCCGCTCATCCCCTCTGCTCCGCGCGCTGCGGCTGCGGCAGTTACGGCGGCGGCGGCGGCGGCTGCATCAGTGGTGGCTTTCCCCGCGGGCATGGACATCTGTTTGAGGTAGCCGCGGTGCGGGCGCAAGTGCGCGGGCGGAGCGGAAGGCGCAGCTGGTCGCGCGTGACCTGAACCGCTGCTTCCCCCTTCGCTCCCCGCATCTGCTTTTTCTCGCGCCAACTCGCGCAACCCTAGCGCTTTCCCCAGATTCGACATGCGCATTCCGCCTATCCCGCCTATCCCGCCCATTCCGCCGATTCCGCCCAATTTGCCGGATTTTTTCGGGCGCGGCTCGCTGTGGTAGCGGACAAAATCTCCGCCGTCAACTGCCTGATCGTCATCGTCGCGAGTTAACGAGGAGGCTACTCGAGGCGCACTATCTCTTGCGATACCTATTTCACTATCTACCGTCGATTCTGGACTAGCGGGCTCCATTGACCGTTGATTGTGGATCCTAAACGTGGGATCTCCCCCAAAAGACGCGCTACCGGAAACTTTTTGAGAACCGAAAACCGCGGCTGCGGAGGAACGAGGGTCAGCTACAATCGCGGGTGTTACGGCGGTAAAAGCGCTGGCTACAGCTGCTGCTTGTGCATGGCAGGTGGAGGCGACAGGAGGCAGTGACGCGAGAACGTGTGGCGGAGGGCGATGCAGAGGCGACTCGCTGGCCATTAAAGCTCGCTGTCAGGCGAGTGGGCGACCTTTGAGCCACGCTCCCGGCATGGCCTCAGATAGCATTCGCCTGACTGCACATTCCGCGAGTTATTTTCGTTTGGAAAGAGGATGAGGGTCGGAAATGGCGGGAAGCAAGCGGATTTTTATCAGCAGAAAATGGTTCGATACCGTACAGAGAATGGGAATGAAAAAGGACAGCGCTTCGAGAGAATTTCTTCCTTGGAGCGACGACTAACCGTCTGATGGCGACATGCGACCTGCGCGTACTCGTTGCGCGCACCTAATCTGCACTCGCTGCGAAAATTCCACGTCTGCTAAGAACGAGTTGGGAACCGCAAATGTGACCCTCCCTGTGAGACACTAAGAAACGAGAACGCGAAAATACTTAAACCCGCTGGTCACAAGAGAGTTCCATCTGCATTAGTAACCGTCGGACATCCTATTATCACACTCGAAGGAGAGGAACGACAACGTAACCTGATCCTGCGCACACCTGCAGAAAGGGTGAACTTGCCGAGCCATGGCTGAAAACAGTGAAACAGAAAGACGTAAGGGGCGGCAAAATCCATGGGCGGGAAGAAGGGTTGCGCGGTGGCGCTTCTCCTTGCGGAAGATTTCCATCCTTGTGTGGATTCGCGCGGTGGCGCTCCTCCTTGCGAATGAGAAGGCCGCCACATCCGCAAGCATGCGCGCAGCCGTAGGTTTCTCCGCATGGTACTCATTGCGCTGGTTGTTGCGAGCCTTCTGATTGGACAAAACTATCGTGTGGTGAAAAACCTCTTTGTCAAGCAATATTAGTGTACGCTGAGCTGAAAATCAAGTTTGTAAGCGATGTAGTTTGTAAAGAGTATAACGCCACGACCACTCGTTTCAATTTCACCAAACATGTGCGTGCCTTGTACATTATCAACACAAAAAACGACAAAGGGCATGAATGAACCAAGGGTGTGGTTACGAGTGTGGGCGATGTCAGTTTTAGCGAAGACCCTCAGGTGACAGCTGTTTCGGCTTGCGCCATAGCTGAGGTGCCTGCATCCGACAAAGAGCATGAGCCAGGGAATTCAGTTGATGCTCGTGTTTTGCTCAACGAACTTCGCTGCAGAATGTGCGGTTTAAAAAGCCCCAATATGATATGACAAAACAGCCAGAGTCTGCTAATTATTGGGTGCGTGCAAGATTCATACAACTGAGTTTGCAAGTGCTATGCATTATACCCAGAAAAGCTCCTACAACTAGCAATTACAAACATGAAATGTACTTCATTTCATTGAAATAGGTACAGGTACTTATAGTCTCAATGTCACTATCAAGTGCTCAGATTGATTCCTGAAACGGGGGCATTTATCCGGTAAAATCAACACTCGAGCATCTTATAGCACCTTCTTGCGCCAGCTTGAAACTTGAAAGTCTCGAACCCCACTCATCCCATGCCTCAAATTGCACTTCCGTCTTCCTTCGCATGGCTCACACCGCGCTGTATACTGAGCCAAGGAGCGTAGCTCACACGACAGAGCTATTGCATCCTGAAACACGTGGCACTTTACAACAATTTCCGTCACTAGCAGACACAACCATTTCCTTCCACTCATCCAATCGAAGAATTTTAGGCCCCTTTTCTTCCACTCACCCACCAAACACCATCGGTTTTCAACCCCCATCCCTTTTACCAACCATCTTAGAGGCTTCCGCACCATTCTCTTCCACTCACCCACACGACGAGTCCAACACCCTTCTCTTTAACTCACCCACCCTCCCTAGGAATGTCAACTCCCTTCTCTTCCACCCACCCAAGACAAGGATTTCAGCTCCCTTCCTTTCCACTAACCCACCGACCCTAGGAATTTCAGCCCGTTGCTCATCCACTCTTCCTCCTACCCTAAGGTTTCCAACCCCTTGTTCCTCCATCCACCCAGATTCAGGGATTCAGCCATCCACCTTAGGGAATTCAGCCCTCTTCCCACTCTCTTCCCACCCACTCACCCATCCAAGGGGTTTCAGCCCCCTTTCCCAATCACTTCACTCTTACTCACCCACACAGGTGTTCCAGTCAGCCCCATTCCCTCTCACTCACCCATCCTGGGGGTTTCAGCCCCCTTTCCTCTCACTCACCCACCTAAGGCATTTCAGTCCCCCGCTTTCCTCTCACCACCACCACCTTCCCCCCTACCCAACTCCTCACACCCCTCACCTGCCAGCAGTAGGAGCAGCAGACAGCCCACTTCCAAAGGAAACAGCACCCCCCAGAGGCTGTGCCATTTGGGGTGAAGTGTGGCCGTGGAGTGGACATTTGCTTCCAGCCCAAGACCCAAATCCCGCCCCTCACGTAGCTAGAGCTGACGCGAACCAGAGCCGCCGGCCGGTCGACTCTGACGGTGTCCATTAAGCTTTGTCCATTAAGCTGTTAGCACCGAGTGCCGTGCCGCGCAGATTCCACCCACCCCACCCCGACCCACAAGGCACAACCCCAGAGGATGCTGCCCCTAAGGCAGTGAACTCCCTGCTTGCTCCCATGCTTCCCACCCACCCTCCTCCCTTCACCCCATGTATCCTTACCTCTACTCACCACAGTCATGCAGAGTGCTGTGATGCCTGAGGCCGTGGGGGAGTGGAGACGGGGAGGATTAACGGAGCGCTGTGATGCTTCTGTGGTGTGACACATGTCAGTGCGTTGGGAGTGCTGGTGAAATTCCGACTGCAGCTGAGCCACTCGAGTCATGAACGCCCACCTGCATGCCATGGGGTGAAAGAGGAACGAATTCACACACAAACAAGAAACAAGAAGGGCAAAGGGAGCGGGGAAAGACGGGGTTCTCTTGAGGGTGCTGCTGCATGTCCGTGTGTTGGGAGTACAGGTGAAAATCCGTTTGAAGCTCAGCCACTCGATTCATGAATGCCCGCCTGCATGCTGCTGCTGCTTTTGCTGCTGCTACTGGTGGTACTGCTGCTGTGGTGTGGCGCATGTCAGTGTTCTGAAAGTGCTGGTGGACTCTCGACTGCAGCTGAGCCACTCGAGTCATGAACGCCCGTCTGCATGCATTCATGCATACCATGGGGTGATGTGGATCCGTAAGATAAGACGGATCCATGTGAGGTGATGTCAAGGAATGTGGGGGCATGCCATGCCATGGCATGTCATGAGTCCCATGTAGATGTTGATTCCGTAACACACCATGCCATGCCACACCATAAAAACAAACGAAGTCATCAGCAGTAAGACCTTGGAGCAAAGTTGTGGAGCATTACCAGGCAAGAGCAAAATCTCCCACACCTGTTCTGTTTGGTTTCTACACCCAGCAAGACCACGATTCCTACACCCAGCAAGACCAAGATATTATTTGAGTCGACTCAAAGGGGTGTCATAGGTGCTGCCGGTTTCACATAAATGAGCAAAGATCGCATGTAGAGCGAAAGAGCAATGCATTCACGCACATGCACACAAACAAAGGGGAAAGAGGGGGCGGTTTGCCAAGAGGGGAGACGACGTGGAGAAGAGGAGAATGGAGAAGGGGAAGGGGGAAGGGGGAAGGGGGAAGTGGGAAGGGGGAAGGGGGAAGGGGGAAGGGGGAAGGGGGAAGGGGAAGCGGGGAACGGGGAAGGAGGAGAGCTTACCCCAGCAGCCGTTGGCGAAGCGTCACGTGTCTCTCTTGCAGCGCTGCCACTGCCATAGGATGACACATGCCATGTGGATGACACATGCCATATGGATGACACACACACATATTCCATGCAGATGACACATGCCACATTGAGGATACACGCCATGTGGATGACACATGCCACGTGGATGGGACGAGGGTGAAAAGCGGATGATTGAGGTCATGGAGGGAAGGGGAAGAGAGGAGAAGGGGAAGAGAGGAGAAGGGGAAGAGAGGAGAAGGGGAAGAGAGGAGAAGGGGAAGAGAGGAGAAGGGGAAGAGAGGAGAAGGGGAAGAGAGGAGAAGGTGTGGGAAAGGGAGAGACGCAGCGGAGGGGAGAAGTGGTGAGAGGAAAGGGAAGGGTGGGACGCGTGTAACAGTTCGGGCATGCCACAAGAGTTAAAGGAATTTGAGGGCAGCTTGTTTGACCTGCACGGCTCTTCACTGTTGCTGCACTGCAAGGCGAATAAAAAGCGAGAGAAGGCTCCAAACGCGAGAACCAGTGAAAGCAGCGCCATGCCATCATGCCACGCGCAGTCCCTCCCTCCCCGCTCACTCACTCCGCATCTCCAGCTCTTCCAAAGCGCCCGTCACCGCGTCTCCCACACGCACCCACTGCCAGCAGTACTGGCAGTGCCAAACGCGGAAGCCAGTGCAAGCACTGCAAGCGGTGCCATGCACCAGCCCCTCCCTGCTCATTCACTCCGCATTCCAGCTCTTTCAGCGTGCCCGCCCCCACGTCTCCCACACCCAACCAGCGCAAGCAGTGCCAAACACGAGAAGCAGCGCAACCAGCGCAACCAGCACAAACATTACAAGCAGTGCCATGCCATGGCCAAGTGCCATGCCATGCACCAACCAACCCCTCCCCCGTTCACTCACTCCCCCGTTCCAACGCACCTGCCCCCATATCTCCCACACCCACCCAGTGCAAGCAGTGCAGGCAGTGCAAACAGTACAAACAGTGCAAGCAGTGCAACCAGTGCAAGCAGTGCCATGCCATGTGCCATGCCATGTGCCATGCCATGTGCCATGTGCCATGCCATGTGCCATGCCATGTGCCATGTGCCATGCCATGTGCCAGTCCCTTCCCGCTCACTCACTCCGCATCTCCAGCTCTTCCAGTGCGCCCGCCCCCACATCATCCACACACACCCGGTGCAAGCAGTGCAGCCAGCACAAACAGTACAACTAAAAGTGCACGCAATGCTACGTGTTTTTGCATCTTGCCATGCCATGCCATGCCATGACATGCCATGCATCACTCACTCCGCATCTCCAGCTCTTCCAGCGCGCCCGCCCCCTCATCTTCCCCCTCCACCTCCACCACCTCCTCCCCCTCCTCATCCACCTCCTCCCCTCTGCTGCTCCGCGCCTCTTCCTCCCTCCCGCCGCACTACCAATCAGGTAAAGCGGTCCCGCGCAAGCGGGCTCTTGAGGCGCCTCAACCATCCTTAGGTGCTCCCCGCTCCTGTCGTCTGCTTGCAGAGGCCCCTCACACGCCTCCAGGGGCGTTGCATGAGAGACCGTGGGAGTGTGTGCGGCGCTAATTGTCACCCCGTTATTAGCCACCCCGTTATCAGCCAGCCGGCTGTTGGATATTCCTCCCTCAGGCAGACCTCCTGTAGCAGCAGCTGCCACGAACCTTCCTCGTGTTTTCTGGAGCAATTCCGCCGCCTGCTGCAGCGCCAGCGGCGCTGATTACAGAATCTGCTGCTCGGTCCCCGCTTTTCCCGCCGCCATTCCCGCTAAAGGCGGAATTAGCGCTGCTTTAGCCATCGCCATCGCGGATAATGGCGGCGTGGCGGCACCGCCAGTCGCGCCGCTCATCACGGCGACATGCGCGCTTCTGGCGGAGTGCGCGCGCGCGGCAGGCGCCAGGCGCGGCTTGGATCTAGCGGGAACCGCGCGCGGGCTGAGCGGCTCCTCGTCGTCGAACGCGACGCGCTTTAACTCGCGACCTCGGCTGCTGCGCCTCGTGCCCTCCATGTACTCGTTACGATCCGCTTCGCTAAGTGTCGCAATCGTTACAACGCTTATGTATAACGGCTCGCCGTGGATTCAAGCCTCCTACCGTGTCGCAGCAACGGCAAAACGACTTGACGCGTACGCGCTCCGACGTAAGGGCGTGTCACATGTTCGGACGGTCACGGTCTATCACAGTTGCGGATCTCGGATGCTGCACCTCGTGGCCTCCATTGTACTCGTTACTATCAGGTTGAGAATTTGGAATGAAAGAAGAAAGCACTTTTTGAACATTACACATAGCGGACTTTCTAGTAACACAGCAAAGAACCCAGCTCACACTCCGCTTGTTTGAAAGGTTCCCTCGCGGTCAGGAACGGTGCCGGGATTTAACCGCTATGAGTGAGCTGATCAGGGACAGTTCAACCATTGCGCACCGAAGTAAACCACTCAACCATGAAACAACTCGTTCTTCTTCACACTCATCTCACGACAATCTCTTCTCGGATCGCGTTGACGCCATAGATACAGCTTCCTATTATCCGTCCGACCAGCAAAGATCTTCTGTTGCTCGTCACTGGGATTCGAGCTAGGTAGTTCTTATCAATCCCTGAACGAATGATTAGTAGTCGCTGTTGGCGAAGGCAGACGCTCCTCTGCTCTATTCGATCCACGTTGGTCGACGCGCGGTCGCGTTGGCATAGAGGTGGAATGCGCGGGTGCGTGCTTCGATACATGTATCTCTTACCTTTCCTTACGTCAACAGTAGCTTTTGAGTCGACTCAAAAGCTTACGTCAACAGTAGATCCTGGCGCAGATTCCGTCTGCAGCTAGCGTGATTGCGAGGCGTTTCGGAAATGGTTTTGGTTGCTTCAGCTGTTTGTCTGTGCGTCGTCGTGTGCGGTTAGAATTTTTGGAAAGCGATAGCACGCGGAAGTCACGCTAAGGAATTATCAATCTTCGTGTCTGCAGCAGACGATAGCGTGATTTTTGCAATACAAGTCCTGGAGCTGCTGCTTGCCGTTCCTGGATTCAAGAAGATAATGCGCGCAGTTTTACGCTACATGACGCGGTATGAGCGGATTGGATTCTTCAGACGCCTCATCAATGGTATTTTCGCGGATTCAGGCCTTTCCGTGAAGATACTGGTGTTTGAGGCGAATGAGCCTCTCCCCGCTTTCCTTCCCCCTTCCCTCATTATTCCCTTCAGAGGGCAAATGAGGCGATGCAGGGCGGGCGTGGTGATTGAGGCGAATGCGCGCAGGGAGGGGGAGAGGGCAAGCGAGCAGCACGAGATCGACTGTTGAGGCGCCTCAAAAGATGGAGCGCGGGGGTGGCGTTTGAGGCGAATGCGTGCAGGGAGGGGGAGAGGGCGAGCAGGCAGCACGACATCGACTGGCTCACCTGGCTCCAACGCACCCAGGTGAGATGCGAATGCGGTGTGGAGCGGTCAACTGGGGTCGCCTGTAACGCCTGCGAGCTTGCTGGCTTGGTGTAGCGGAATAGGCGGTGGGGTGCGGTGGGGTGCGGTGGGGTGCGGTGGGGTGCGGTGGGGTGTGGCGGGATGAGATAAAGAAGGGCGACGTGTGAGAGGAGGCTGAGCTGAGAGAGGGGCAACGGAGAGAAGAGGGTGGTTGGTGGAGTGCAGTGGGATGGGATGTGGTGGGATGAGAGGAGATGGGGAACATATGATAAGGTGGGGGAGGGGAGTGTAATTGGATGACCAAGAAGTGAGTTGTACCTCGTCCCTCTTTCTCCTCCCCCTTTCCTTTCTCATTTTGCCCTTCCCTCTTCCCTCCTTTGCCCGTCCTCCTTTGCCCTTCCTCCGTTGCTGTCCCCATTTTTCTTTTCCCCCTTTCCCCTTCCTCTTTTGCCCGTCCCTCCCCAATTGCCCGTCCCCCTTTGTCCGCCCCCCTATGCCCGCCCCCATTTTCCCTTCCGCTTTTGCCCTCCTTCGCCCGTCCCCCTTTGCTCCTCAAGCCCTCTTTCCTCTTCATCCTTTTTCCTTTCCCCTTCCCCTTCCTCCTCCCCTGTTTTCCCTTTTGCCCTCCTCCCTTCGCCCTACTCCCCTGCTGTCCCGTCCATATCAAATCGCTCTCCTTCTCTGCCCTCCCACCACCCGTCCCTATCTCACCCTCGCCACCCCTCCTGCTCTCACCCCTGCAACCACACCAGGCCCATGAGAGTGTGAGCATGTGAGGATGTGAGCATGCTGGAGCAGCGGCTTTCTACCACCATCCCTGCTGTCGTTGCCACTCTCCATGCGTCCATATTCATCCCTGCCACCCACCCCACCCCACCCACACCCCCTCCCCCACCCGCACCCGCACCCCCACCCCCACCCCCCACCCCCACTTCCACCCTCAACCCACTCCCTACCCGTTATCCAGGCTCGTGTGAGCATGCTGGAGCAGCATCTCTCTGCTGGAGCAGCATCTCTCTGCTGGAGCAGCATCTCTCTGCTGGAGCAGCATCTCTCTGCTGGAGCAGCATCTCTCTGCTGGAGCAGCATCTCTCTGCTGGAGCAGCATCTCTCTGCTGCTCCCGCTGCTGCTGCTGCTGCTTCGCCCCCTCTTCGCCCTGCTTCTGCTGCTCCCTTCGCCGCTGCCGCTGCCGCCGCTGCTGCTGGTGAAAGCTGGCTTGGGGAAGAGAACACTACCTCCGCTACAGGAGAATCAACCGCAGCAGGGGAGGAGGGGGATGCTGTGTCTCCTGAACTGCTCTCAGCATCAGCGTCTGCATCAGCATCAGCATCAGCATCAGCATCAGCATCAGCATCACAGCATCAGCATCAGCATCAGCATCAGCATCAGTATCAGCAGCATCAGCATCAGCATCAGCAGCATCAGCATCAGCATCAGCATCAGCATCAGCATCAGCATCAGCATCAGCATCACAGCATCAGCATCAGCATCAGCATCAGCATCAGCATCACAGCATCAGCATCAGCATCAGCATCAGCATCAGCATCAGCATCACAGCATCAGCATCAGCATCAGCATCAGCATCAGCATCAGCATCAGCATCACAGCATCAGCATCAGCATCAGCATCAGCATCAGCATCAGCATCAGCATCACAGCATCAGCATCAGCATCAGCATCAGCATCAGCATCAGCATCAGCATCAGCATCACAGCATCAGCATCAGCATCAGCATCAGTATCAGCAGCATCAGCATCAGCATCAGCAGCATCAGCATCAGCATCAGCATCAGCATCAGCATCAGCATCAGCATCAGCATCAGCATCACAGCATCAGCATCAGCATCAGCATCAGCATCAGCATCAGCATCACAGCATCAGCATCAGCATCAGCATCAGCATCAGCATCAGCATCACAGCATCAGCATCAGCATCAGCATCAGCATCAGCATCAGCATCAGCATCAGCATCACAGCATCAGCATCAGCATCAGCATCAGCATCAGCATCAGCATCAGCATCAGCATCACAGCATCAGCATCAGCATCAGCATCAGCATCAGCATCAGCATCAGTCAGCTTCTATGTCTGTGTGAGTATGGTTATCCTGCCCATGTGGTTCGGTCACCATGGTTATCCAGCCCATGTGATGAAGGCGGGGTTGCTTTCGGTGAGTCCCGTGCTTCGTGACAAAGCCTGCCTCTGCTGTCGCCAGTCACCAGCCCTGGTCACCATTTCTCCCTCTCCTTCTCCCTCTCCTTTCCCGTCTCCAATCCCTGGTGGTCTTGCCGAGCCTTTTCTCTGTGCTTCAACCTTATGGTTCTGCCTTCATTCGGGCATCAACCCATTCCCCATTCTGGCATCACCGCTTTTCCCCATCCCCCCATTTCCCCATTTCCCCATTCCCCCATTCCTCCATTCCCCCATTTCCCCATTCCCCCATTTTCCCATTCGGGCATCACCTCTTTTCCCCATTTCCCCATTCCCCCATTCCCCCATTCCCCCATTCTGCCATCACCGCTTTCCCCCATTCCCCCATTCTGCAATCACCGCTTTCCCCCATTCCCCCATTCCCCCATTCTGTCATCACCGCTTTCCCCCTTTTTCCAACCCTCGGGCAACTCTTCAGTAAGTACCAGCCTGCTGCGTGCATGTTGGTATGAGTTACAGCATGCATGTTGGCATGAGTTACAGCATGCACGCCGGCATGAGTTACAGCATGCATGTTGGCATGAGTTACAGCATGCATGTTGGTATGAGTTAAAGCATGCATGGTGGCATGAGTTACAGCATGCATGGTGGCATGAGTTACAGCATGAATGGTGGCATGAGTTACAGCATGCATGTTGGTATGAGTTACAGCATGCATGCTGGTATGAGTTACAGCATGCATGGTGGCATGAGTTACAGCATGCATGTTGGATGTTGGCATGAGTTACAGCGTGCATGTTGGTATGCATGTTGGCATGAGTTACAGCATGCATGTTGGTATGCATGTTGGCATGAGTCACAGCATGCATGTTGGCATGAAGTCACAGCATGCACGCCGGCATGAGTTACAGCATGCATGTTGGTATGTATGTTGGCATGAGTTACAGCATTCTCTTACCGCCTCACTCACTCACTCCCGCACCTCTTTTCTGTCACATGGCAGGCTGAGCAAGGAGGCACAGGCGGAAACGTCTTGCCAGGAATCAGGCGATCAGGCATCAGGAGGGGATCAAGAGGCAGAGACGAGCCATGAGGACAGAGGCAGCCTTGTGGATGGAGCAGAGGGGTGAAGGGGAAGCACAGGTGCATGGAGCAGCGGGCGAAGACGGGCGTGAACAAGGCTGCGAAAGAACAAGAGCTGAGCTACAGTAGGTTGTAGCTCCTGTGGCTGGAAATGGTTACAAGAAGCTGTAGCTGCGACGTTGCTTTGCTCTAGTGGGTAATATGATCACGCTTTCCCTAGTTTGGCTGAGAGAAAGTGTGTGCCCCCCTAGAACAAAGCTCACTGCACATGTGTGTGCCCCCTAGAACAAAGCTCACTGCACATGTGTGTGCCCCTTAGAACAAAGCTCACTGCACATGTGTGTGCCCCCTAGAACAAAGCTCACTGCACATGTGTGTGCCCCCTAGAACAAAGCTCACTGCACATGTGTGTGCCCCCTAGAACAAAGCTCACTGCACATGTGTGTGCCCCCTAGAACAAAGCTCACTGCACATGTGTGTGCCCCCTAGAACAAAGCTCACTGCACATGGGCTTCCCCCTATAAGAAATTCAATGGAAGCCATTACCCTATCAGAGATTCACTGCAAGTCCAGCCGTCACCCCTAGAAGAATAGCAGTGCACTGCAAGTTCAGCCATTACCCTTAGAAGAATACCGGTAGCACTTCACTGCAAGTCCAGCCATCACCCCTAGAAGAAATTCCCTGCAAGTTCAGCCATCACCCCTAGACTGCACGTTCGCTATAGCTGCAAGTTCAGCCGGGTTTAGTACTGCACCCCCTTGACTGCACCATCTTTCACCATCCCCTTGACTGCACCATCTTTCACCATCCCCTTGACTGCACCATCTTTCACCATCCCCTTGACTGCACCATCTTTCACCATCCCCTTGACTGCACCATCTTTCACCATCCCCTTGACTGCACCATCTTTCACCATCCCCTTGACTGCACCATCTTTCACCATCCCCTTGACTGCACCATCTTTCACCATCCCCTTGACTGCACCATCTTTCACCATCCCCTTGACTGCACCATCTTTCACCATCCCCTTGACTGCACCATCTTTCACCATCCCCTTGACTGCACCATCTTTCACCATCCCCTTGACTGCACCATCTTTCACCATCCCCTTGACTGAACCATCTTTCACCATCCCCTTGACTGCACCATCTTTCACCATCCCCTTGACTGCACCATCTTTCACCATCCCCTTGACTGCACCATCTTTCACCATCCCCTTGACTGAACCATCTTTCACCATCCCCTTGACTGCACCATCTTTCACCATCCCCTTGACTGCACCATCTTTCACCATCCCCTTGACTGCACCATCTTTCACCATCCCCTTGACTGCACCATCTTTCACCATCCCCTTGACTGCACCATCTTTCACCATCCCCTTGACTGCACCATCTTTCACCCATCCAGCCAACCACCATCTTTCACCATCTTTCACCATCTTTCCCCATCTCTCCATGTCCACCCCACCATGGACTTCACCATCCAGCCATCATCTCTTTCACTTCTCCAACCAACCAACCACCGTCTTTCACTTCTCCGTTTCACTTCCCCATCCAACCAGTCTTACATAGTTTTTTCTTTTTTTTTTTTTAAGGCTTCACCACCAAAGCCAGGGATAAAAATCCGTCCCATCAGCATCTCCTGGCGTGATGCTTACGGGCTGAGACCCGGAGGCGTTACGGGTACTGCCGTGCTCGGCTAAAAATCCCATCCGATGTAGAGCAAGCCACACCCACCTCAGTGTGGACCGAATCAAGCTTGCTCTAGCCACACCCACTTCAGTGTGGACTTCGCAACTTAGCCTTGGCCACGTCTCAGCCACAGCTCAGCCCCCTCCTGGTCGAGGCACCCAGGCAGCCCCCATTGCGCGGCGGAATCCGAGTTTCCTGCACATGACAAAAACACCGAGTCAGTATAGTGAAATATACATGGCTGGGAAAAAAACGAAAGTTGAATCAAGAGCGAAACAGAGTAAGGAGATAGCTTGCAAGGAGAGAGCTTGAAACTTACTTTGTGGGTCGCAACTTGAAAGTTGAAGCGTCGTGCAGTGCAGATTCCCGCAGCAGCTCCTCCCAGCAGCTCCTCCCATGCCATAACATGCCATGCCATGTCATGCCATGCCATGCCATGCCATGCCACGCCATACCATACCAGGCCATGCCATGCCTGCACAGGACGAAAACACAAAGTCAGTATCCTGAATTACACATGGCTGGGAAATCGAAGATTGAATAAAGTTCACAACAGCGTAAAGAGACAGCATGTAAGGAGACCGATTGGAAGGAGTCAGCTTACTTATTGAGTTGCAGCGCCGTGCAGCTCCTCTATGCTGCTCCTCCCAGCAGCTCCTCCCATTCAGCTCGTTGCAGCAGCTCCAATCTGGTCCTTGAGCTCCTCCCATTCAGCTCCTTGCAGCAGCTGTTTGCAGCAGCGCCGATCTGCTCCTTCAACAGCAGCTGCATCTCTTCACTTGCAGCAGCACCGCTTCAACTTCAGCAGGATCTTCAACTTCAGCAGCATAACCAACTTCAGCAGCATCACTTCAGTTTGAAAGAGCGTCAGCTCCCTTCCTGCACAAGTCAAGAACCCAAAATCAGTACTTGCAATGAAGCTAAAAAGAAGAATCTTAAGAGGCAAATAAGAGCAAAACGAAATCAGACTTAGGCATAAAGCAGCAGCAAAAGGAGAGAGGAGGAATCTTACTGTGAATTTCGGATTGGAGGACTTGGCGGGTGGCGGATGGCGTGTGTCGAGTGTTGGATGGAGGGTGGCGGATGGCAGGGGCTGCTTCTCTTCAACTCCAGCTGCATCTCTTCACTTGCAGCAGCACTGCTTCAACTTCAGCAGGATCTTCAACTTCAGCAGCATAACCAACTTCAGCAGCATCACTTCAGTTAAAAGCAGCGTCAGCTCCCTTCCTGCACAAGTCAAGAACCCAAAATCAGTACTTGCAATGAAGCTAAAACGAAGAAGCTTAGAGGCAAATTAGAGCAAAAAACGCGGACTCAGGCATGAAGCAGCAGTCAAAGGAGAGAGGGGGAATCGTACATTGAATTTCGGATTGGAGGACTTGGCGGGTGGCGGATGGCGTATGTTGAGTGTTGGATGGAGGGTGGCGGATGGCAGGGAGCTGCTTCTCTTCAACTCCAGCTGCAGCACTTCAATTGCAGCAGCACCGCTTCAACTTCAGCAGCATCACCAACTTCAGCAGCATCTCTTCAGTTTGAAGCAGTGTCAACTCCCTTCCTGCACAAGTCAAGAACCCAAAGTCAGTACTTGCAATGAAGCTAAAACGAAGAAGCTTAGAGGCAAATTAGAGCAACAAAAGCGGGGCATAAAGCAGCAGTAAAAGGAGAGAGGGGGAATCTTAATTGAAATTTCGGATTGGAGGACTTGGCGGGTGGCGGATGGCGTATGTCAAATGTTGGATGGAGGGTGGCGGATGGCAGGGAGCTGCTTCTCTTCAACTCCAGCTGCAGCACTTCAATTGCAGCAGCACCGCTTCAACTTCAGCAGCATCTCTTCGATTTACAGCAGCATTGCCTCCCTTCCTGCACAAGTCAAGAACCCACATCAGTACTTACAACAAAGCTAAAAGACACGAATGTTGTAAAGGCAAATAAAAAGCAAAACACATAATATAACTTAGCCATAAAGCAACAGTCAAAGGAGAAAGGGGGGATCTTACTTGGAATTTCGGATTGGAGGACTTGGCGGGTGGCGGATGGAGTATGTTGAGTGTTGGTTGGAGGGTGGCGGATGGCAGGGAGCTCCTTCTCTTCAACTCCAGCTGCAGCACTTCAATTGCAGCAGCATCGCTTCAATTTCAGCAGCATCACTTCAGTTTGAAGCAGCGTCAACTCCCTTCCTGCACAAGTCAAGAACCCAAAATCAGTACTTGCAACGAAGCTGAAAAGAAGAATCTTTAAGGCAAAAAAAGAGCAAAAAACGAAATCGGACTCAGGCATAAAGCAGCAGTAAAAGGAGAGGGGAGGGATCTTACTTGGAATTTCGGATTGGAGGACTTGGCGGGTGGCGGATGGAGTATGTTGAGTGTTGGATGGAGGGTGGCCGATGGCAGGGAGCTAATTCTCTTCAACTCCAGCTGCAGCACTTCAATTGCAGCAGCACCGCTTCAACTCCACCAGGATCACAAACTTCAGCAGCATCACCAACTTCAGCAGCATCACTTCAGTTTGTAGCAGCAGCTCCCTTCCTGCACAAGTCAAGAACCCAAAATCAGTACTTGCAACGAAGCTAAAAAGAAGAATCTTAGAGGCAAATAAAGAGCAACAAAAGAAATTCAACTTAGGCATGACGTAGCAGCAAAAAGAAAATTCTTACTTTAAATTTCAGATTGGAGGACCTGCGGATGGTGGATGGCAGGTGTCGAGTGTTGGATGGGGGGTGGCGGATGGCAGGGAGTTGCAGATTTTCAACTTCAGCTGCATCACTTCAACTGCAGCAGCACCGCATCAACTTCAGCAGCATCACCAACTTCAGCAGCATCTTGAAGTTCAAGATCCATTCTGTGCAGTAGCGTTAGGTCCATTCTGCACAAGTCAAGATCACAAAATCAGAACTTGCTTGGAGGTCAAAAAATGTAAAGAGCAAGAAGGAAAGCTGAATTAGACAAAAACAATAACAGGATATTGATCACGGTGAGCAGAATCTACCTTCGAGAATGTGGTTGGCGAATAGCGAATGCGGATGGCAGGACCTCCTTCACTCGCTTTTCTTCCTTCAACTACAATTGCGTCACTTCTTGGAAACGTTGGTCTTCTTCACTAGGGGACGGGCAAAAAGACAACAAAAAGCAAGTTAGTGGCCCGAAAATACAGTTGCAAGAAAACGAAAAACAAGAGCAAACAGGAAAAAAAACGAAACAATAGCGAAAACGACAATGAAATAAATGGATGATGGCGGAGGTGAATGAATGATGGCGTAAGCATCCATGATTTTTCATATGCCACAGCTCGCAGAGGGTCGGAGACTATTGCTACCCAAACCCATGCTAACTCTACCCAAACCGAGGAGGATACATCTGTCCGCTGCGGCGATAATCAAATCAGAGGGATGATGGATTGTGATGCATGAATGACATGCGGATGTGAGAAAAAAAAACAGCATTAAGCGGAAAAAAAACATTAGGAACCTTAAAAACGAAAAGAAACTTCCCAATTCGTGGTTGATGGTGAGATCCAGAGCAGATCCACCGTTGTCAACGGCTAGCACCTTCACGCCACGTCCGCGGCCACCTTTCTGATCCACGTCCGCGGCCATCCACGAGAAGGAGCAGTTGAAGGAGCTTGGACGTTCGTAGCACAGAGTAGACACCGAAATCGTAGGTTTCTAAGCTCACAATGACCAAGTGTGGCTAGCAATATGGTACCCCAAAACGACCAAGTGTTTGAACAATTGGCTTGAGAAGGAGTGGGGTCTAGGTTTGGACAAACTGGTGGTGGATCCGAACCTAGTGGAAACATTTCATTTTGCGCGTTGAGACGACGAAGAGAATCGACCGACGGCCGAGATGCTTTGTCAGTCACGTTATTTCTTGTGCTTTTCTCAACTTTGAGGATGAAGTGGACCCAGATTATCCAGGTTTGGGCAAAAACGGCGGTGGCTCAGAGATCCTAACCTATTCTGGCGCGCGGATCTTAAAAAAGGTGGCCCCGAACCTACCCGTGGCGGTTGTTTCACATCGATCAAAGGATACCATGGATTAGGAATCCACCATGGTAGTCTGCTTGAGCAAACCCTAGCGGCAAGAGGCGGCAGACGATAAAACAATGTCAGATCCCTTTTCAGTTGGATAAACTTTTGGCGAGCATTTTTTGGAAATCTCCTCCTTTTAAACTTCATAACACTTGGTGTTTCAGTTCTCAGTTAACCACACAGTTTCCCCACGTCTGTTCAAACCGAGCAGCGACAATCTAGTTGTAGCGTTCATCCTGCCCGTAATTCCACTCATCCCGATACTCTCAAAGAGGGACTGACATGGTGGGGACCACAACTGCAATTCGTGTGTCAGTTGTGGTCCCCACCCCACGAATCTGGTTGTGCGGTGAATCACATGATAGGGCTGATGAACGAAATGTATTTCTTGAAATCAATCTCACGCAAAACACCCCCACGAGCCGCAAGACAGCATTCGTGATTATGCTATTTCGCGTATCAGGTTCAGCATTCGAATCTACGAGGGCTGCCCACAACAGACCTCGGAAGTCTCTTTGAAAACAGTCTGAAGAAGGCGGGTTCCGGCTGGTTTGCGGCGTTTCAGTCCCTCGAGGCACCAGTGACGTTACTTAGACCGGCGAAGTGCAGAAGATTTACGACGTGTTGCGACCCACACGGATTGGGTCTGGTCGGGTCGACCTGGTCGACCAGACCCAACCCGACCAGACCCTCAGAAACGCGATTCGGGAAACTCGAAAATTGCTCCACTTTTTCCTAACATCTGCGAGGGTGATGCGAAGCAGTTGCCGCGCGAGGGGATGGTGGCCTGGGCGACCTGTGGCGAGTTATAAGGACGCGGTAAAAGTAGACGATCGATTGTCAGTCGCGATCGATGTGCGGATCGGTTACCCTATTTACTACGTTGTAACCATGCTACAGTACGCTTTTTGGCCCAACGTTTTGGACAGTGTGTGAATGCGACTGATCACAAATCGCGCGAGATCTATCAAATTTCAGTGGCGATCGTTACAACGTCGCGATCGCCACGTTTCGCCAATCGATCTGGCCAATCGATTGCAGGGATCGATTCGTGCAGACGATCCTGCGATATTTGCACTTTTACCGCGTCCAAACAAGATTTGCGCGAGTATACTTGGTATCTTCTTGGGCGGCGAAATCAGGGTGATAGCTGCGCGAGAGCTGTAAATTTCGCAGGCTCAGATAACCTGCTTCAACTCGGTTGGGTTGGGTCTGGTCGACCAGGTCGACCCGGGTCTGGCAGACCCGACCCGACCTGGTTGGGTCGACCTGGTCGGCTAGACCCGCGACGCAGCCTTCCTAGAAATGAGGGGTCGGGGGCCGGTCGACCCAACCAATGTGGGTCGCAACACGTTGTTAGCTGAGAAGGATTGCGCGGGATATAGCTGACTGTAACCTGTAACAAATTTCTCGAACCTCAGCGCGACGCGGTCGAAAATAAACCTTCCAGGAGTATAATCTTTCGAAATACGGCTTACAAGTCGACACGATGGTTTGGAGCACGGAAGTCTCCAAGCTTGGTGGGCATGGTGAATCTGTGGTTGCGCAGTTAGGACGCGTCACCTCTCTCGATTTTGCACGATCGATCCTGCGCAGGATCGAATATTTACGGATGGTTAAAAACTACTGAAATGTAACAACTAGGTTTTAACTGCGGTAGGCGATCAGTTTTTGACGATAGATCGTGCAAAATCGAGAGAGGTAACGCGTCCTTACTAGAGGGGGGGAACTCGGCTCTGGTATTATACCGAAGTTGTTGAAATCTTGCACGCAACATAAAGTTTTACACATTTGCAATCTGCACTGGACAAAGTGATTTACAGAGAAATTTGTAAACACTATTCATTTTCAATTTCTTTCAAGCTCGACTAGTCATATCTGCATATCAGGCCCCTAGATTCGTTTTGAGGTAGTCTGACGCCTCAGAGTACACCCCTCTTCCTAGTCTGGCTGTCAGAGTTACCTAATTTTTTTAGTCTGAAAATTCAGACAAGCACAACTTTTTTTGTCTGAACTGTCAGAGTTACTTCAAATTTTAAGATGTTCATGCAGTTTCATAACAGCATAGTTATAATAGCATTGAAGCTGATTACAGCATACCAACGCAATTGTGCGGCCAGAAATGGGGCACTCTGATTGGTCATTTTTCAAGAGTTAGCACTGAGCAGTCAGGGTCGAGGTGTGGGCATCAGACAATGGCCTCGTGCAAGTGCCAAGTGTGGCAAGCTCACAATCAGCTGACCTGGCAGCAGGCACGGTATCGCTCGGCACTTTTCTGTGCTGGGCGCGCTGGCAGCAGCAAGTGTTTTCAACTGTGTACACCGTATGTGCGCGGAATATTTTCTCCTACAATGTAGCTTCCAATTTTGACTTGGTTTGGCAAGGGGAAATGATGTGCGGTTCTGCTGAAGTACGAGACTCGTGTGTGACAAGGCTTTCGTTTGGACCAATTCGCTTTTCGCCATGTGCGATTCGCTAAAATTGTTTTGGCCATGTGCGATTGGCTATCTAGTTTCACAATTTAAGGGTTTTTATAAGCCCCCGATAAATTTGACTCTCGTGATAGCGTCGACAAAGTAGTGTATTCTGGTGCCCCTACTCTAGCAGTTTTATCCTGAGGAAATCGTTAGTGCTGGCCCGTACACACGTGGGTGTATCAAAAAAAAAAATCGAGGTAGTTTCGTTCCGATAACCTTTCATTCAGGCTGGCGGAAACCCCTGTATAACTGGTTTCAGAGTGGACCCCCGATACAAGTCTGAGGCTCAGCCTGCACTACTATGACTACTCTGAAATTTCAGACTAGTCAGTTAAAACCAGGGTGCACATTCAACGCGGTTCGGCTTGAGATGTTGGGAAGGGGGTTTGGAGAAAAACAGTGATTGGCTCACGAGGGGCGACAAAAAAATGATTCCGCTAGAGCTTCGGGCATTTCGTAGGTGGCGGGAGGGGGTGAAATGGCGGGAGTGGGTGAAACCGAATGGCGGGAGGGATGAAACAGATTGGCGGGAGGGGGGGGAAACGAAATTGCGGGGGAGGGGGGAAACAAAATTGCGGGGGAGGGGGGAAACGAATTTCGACGGGGAGGGGGAAATGAAATCGCGGGGGTGTGGGGAAACGAAATTGCGGGGGAGGGGGAAACGAATTTCGACTTGAAGGGGTTGAAAGCACACCTCGTAACCCACTCAGTCAAGGGATAACCTTTGATGCACATTCAGCTGAATGTGCACCCCGGTTTTAAAAAAACTCTGAAAAATCCGACAGGGTGCATAAAAAAATTCTTTGAGTTCAGACTAGGTACAAAAAAAAAGTCTGAACGGACTCTGAATCAATTTCCAAAGTCTGATATCTAGGGCCCTGCTGCATATATTCATACTTGATGAGGCGGTTTTAACAGAGTAGATATCCTTGTGCCCAACTCCAACATCCATGCTAGATTTATCTTCCTCCTGTCAACATGGCAATTAATACTCTTTACTATGACTCGGTTTTTTCAGCAGTGAGCCCAATATTTTTTAAGCAGTGAGCCCAAATGCATCTCACATCTGGCGCCACGGTCCCATGTGCATCTCTGGTCTTGTACCATCTGCTACGCCTACGCGTCTTGGCCGAGGAGCACTCAGCCAAAAAAGAAGAAACACAATACCGTTTCTACGTATATTTAAATGCACCCATCAAGAGAACTGTCAAATGCGCACGGGTGTACTCCAGCAGAATACTGTACGTGCTGTCCGCCACGCCTTTGAGGAGTGCTTCTGTATCGGGGGGAAACGAGATGCCTGCAATCTCCCCGGAAATGTTGATCTCCTGTGCTCGGGTGAACCCGCTGCTCGTGTCGAAGACATGCACAATGTCCGCTGGATCAGCCATGGCCATGAATGTAGGTGGAAGGGACGAGTGGTGGGGGAAGCAGGTCAGGGGGAAAGGGGGGTGGGGAGAGAGGAGCGGGTTGAGGGGTGTAGAGGATTTTGAGGTGATGTGTCATGTGCAATCATGTGGCGAGGAGTGAAAGGAGGGAGGGAGGGAGCAGGGTGTCATGCAACATGGGAACGAGCATGTGGTGCTGAAAAAGAGAAGCTGCTTGTACTAAAGACATGCACCAAGTGTGCACGCTCAGCCAAGGCCATCAACTTGGGTGGTGGAGGGAGGGAGAGGCAGGGAGTGACACGTCAAATGGGGATACGCATGCCACATGAAACAGGCCGTTCTCTGTGGACCAAGATTCTTCCATTGCCGTTCTCTCCCCCCCTGCCTCCCTCCCCCCCTCCCTCCCCCCCTCTCCCTTTACCCCCTTCTTCCACCACACACACTCACCTGCCATCGTTGGTGAATCTGAGAGACCGAATAGCCCTCAGTCACCCCTTGACCGAATGGCCCTCAGTCACCCCTTGACCGAATGGCCCTCAGTCACCCCTTGACCGAATGGCCCTCAGTCTCCCCTTGACCGAATGGCCCTCAGTCTCCCCTTGAGCGAGAACAGGGAAATGCCCTCGGTCCCACACAGCACGTGGTGTCCTGGTCGCCTGTGGCAAAGTGGTTGCCTCCCGAGTGCCAGGCTGTCCACGTGGCCCTGCATGCGCGCTACAACCTGGACCAACCAGGTTTAGAGGCAGGCATGGGGATGGGGATGTGGGCGAATGGGGATGTGGGCGAATGGGGAGTGGGGGATAGGGATGTGGGCGAATGGGGATGTGGGGGATGGGGATGTGGGGGATGGGGATGTGGGGGATGTGAATGTGGGGGATGGGGATGTGGGGGATGGGGGGATGTGGGGGATGGATGGGGATGGGGGTTGTGCGGGATGTGGAGGATGTGGGGGATGTGGGGGAAAGGGGGATGTGGATGTGGGGGATGTGGGGGATGTGGGGGATGTGGGGGATGTGGGGGCGGTGGCACGTGAGACAGGATTGAGGCAAGGAGGTAAAAAACTGGACAGGGGCTCAGCACAGAGGCGACTTCATCTTGAAGGTGCGGCAAAGCGGACTGAACTGAGCAAGGACGAGCAGAGGTGGAGTGAGCGAGACAGAGGCAAAGGTAAGGAGCGGGGCGGGAAAGAAGAGCAGGGAGTGCGAGGGCGGGAGGAACAAACCTTGCCTGAGGTGAGGTGGAGTAACTACGCGTCAGGGTCCTCCCCCCGCACAAGCATGCTGTCCCCCTGTCCGGTGCCACTGCCGTGAACAAGGCAAGGCACCCATGGTCGCGTGTAGAGAAGCAAACGGATGGCGGCTCACCTTGCCTGAGGTGAGGTGGAGTAACAACGCCACTGAGGTGAGGTGGAGTAACAACGCCACTGAGGTGAGGTGGAGCAACAACGCCACTGAGGTGAGGTGGAGTAACAACGCCACTGAGGTGAGGTGGAGTAACAACGCCACTGAGGTGAGGTGGAGTAACAACGCCACTGAGGTGAGGTGGAGTAACAACGCCACTGAGGTGAGGTGGAGTAACAACGCCACTGAGGTGAGGTGGAGCAACAACGCCACTGAGGTGAGGTGGAGTAACAACGCCACTGAGGTGAGGTGGAGTAACAACGCCACTGAGGTGAGGTGGAGTAACAACGCCACTGAGGTGAGGTGGAGTAACAACGCCACTGAGGTGAGGTGGAGCAACAACGCCACTGAGGTGAGGTGGAGTAACAACGCCACTGAGGTGAGGTGGAGTAACAACGCCACTGAGGTGAGGTGGAGTAACAACGCCACTGAGGTGAGGTGGAGTAACAACGCCACTGAGGTGAGGTGGAGCAACAACGCCACTGAGGTGAGGTGGAGTAACAACGCCACTGAGGTGAGGTGGAGTAACAACGCCACTGAGGTGAGGTGGAGTAACAACGCCACTGAGGTGAGGTGGAGTAACAACGCCACTGAGGTGAGGTGGAGTAACAACGCCACTGAGGTGAGGTGGAGTAACAACGCCACTGAGGTGAGGTGGAGTAACAACGCCACTGAGGTGAGGTGGAGCAACAACGCCACTGAGGTGAGGTGGAGTAACAACGCCACTGAGGTGAGGTGGAGTAACAACGCCACTGAGGTGAGGTGGAGTAACAACGCCACTGAGGTGAGGTGGAGTAACAACGCCACTGAGGTGAGGTGGAGTAACAACGCCACTGAGGTGAGGTGGAGTAACAACGCCACTGAGGTGAGGTGGAGTAACAACGCCACTGAGGTGAGGTGGAGTAACAACGCCACTGAGGTGAGGTGGAGTAACAACGCCACTGAGGTGAGGTGGAGTAACAACGCCACTGAGGTGAGGTGGAGTAACAACGCCACTGAGGTGAGGTGGAGTAACAACGCCACTGAGGTGAGGTGGAGTAACAACGCCACTGAGGTGAGGTGGAGTAACAACGCCACTGAGGTGAGGTGGAGTAACAACGCCACTGAGGTGAGGTGGAGTAACAACGCCACTGAGGTGAGGTGGAGTAACAACGCCACTGAGGTGAGGTGGAGTAACAACGCCACTGAGGTGAGGTGGAGTAACAACGCCACTGAGGTGAGGTGGAGTAACAACGCCACTGAGGTGAGGTGGAGTAACAACGCCACTGAGGTGAGGTGGAGTAACAACGCCACTGAGGTGAGGTGGAGTAACAACGCCACTGAGGTGAGGTGGAGTAACAACGCCACTGAGGTGAGGTGGAGTAACAACGCCACTGAGGTGAGGTGGAGTAACAACGCCACTGAGGTGAGGTGGAGTAACAACGCCACTGAGGTGAGGTGGAGTAACAACGCCACTGAGGTGAGGTGGAGTAACAACGCCACTGAGGTGAGGTGGAGTAACAACGCCACTGAGGTGAGGTGGAGTAACAACGCCACTGAGGTGAGGTGGAGTAACAACGCCACTGAGGTGAGGTGGAGTAACAACGCCACTGAGGTGAGGTGGAGTAACAACGCCACTGAGGTGAGGTGGAGTAACAACGCCACTGAGGTGAGGTGGAGTAACAACGCCACTGAGGTGAGGTGGAGTAACAACGCCACTGAGGTGAGGTGGAGTAACAACGCCACTGAGGTGAGGTGGAGCAACAACGCCACTGAGGTGAGGTGGAGTAACAACGCCACTGAGGTGAGGTGGAGTAACAACGCCACTGAGGTGAGGTGGAGTAACAACGCCACTGAGGTGAGGTGGAGTAACAACGCCACTGAGGTGAGGTGGAGTAACAACGCCACTGAGGTGAGGTGGAGTAACAACGCCACTGAGGTGAGGTGGAGTAACAACGCCACTGAGGTGAGGTGGAGCAACAACGCCACTGAGGTGAGGTGGAGTAACAACGCCACTGAGGTGAGGTGGAGTAACAACGCCACTGAGGTGAGGTGGAGTAACAACGCCACTGAGGTGAGGTGGAGTAACAACGCCACTGAGGTGAGGTGGAGTAACAACGCCACTGAGGTGAGGTGGAGTAACAACGCCACTGAGGTGAGGTGGAGTAACAACGCCACTGAGGTGAGGTGGAGTAACAACGCCACTGAGGTGAGGTGGAGTAACAACGCCACTGAGGTGAGGTGGAGTAACAACGCCACTGAGGTGAGGTGGAGTAACAACGCCACTGAGGTGAGGTGGAGTAACAACGCCACTGAGGTGAGGTGGAGTAACAACGCCACTGAGGTGAGGTGGAGTAACAACGCCACTGAGGTGAGGTGGAGTAACAACGCCACTGAGGTGAGGTGGAGTAACAACGCCACTGAGGTGAGGTGGAGTAACAACGCCACTGAGGTGAGGTGGAGTAACAACGCCACTGAGGTGAGGTGGAGTAACAACGCCACTGAGGTGAGGTGGAGTAACAACGCCACTGAGGTGAGGTGGAGTAACAACGCCACTGAGGTGAGGTGGAGTAACAACGCCACTGAGGTGAGGTGGAGTAACAACGCCACTGAGGTGAGGTGGAGTAACAACGCCACTGAGGTGAGGTGGAGTAACAACGCCACTGAGGTGAGGTGGAGTAACAACGCCACTGAGGTGAGGTGGAGTAACAACGCCACTGAGGTGAGGTGGAGTAACAACGCCACTGAGGTGAGGTGGAGTAACAACGCCACTGAGGTGAGGTGGAGTAACAACGCCACTGAGGTGAGGTGGAGTAACAACGCCACTGAGGTGAGGTGGAGTAACAACGCCACTGAGGTGAGGTGGAGTAACAACGCCACTGAGGTGAGGTGGAGTAATAACGCCACTGAGGTGAGGTGGAGTAACAACGCCACTGAGGTGAGGTGGAGTAACAACGCCACTGAGGTGAGGTGGAGTAACAACGCCACTGAGGTGAGGTGGAGTAACAACGCCACTGAGGTGAGGTGGAGTAACAACGCCACTGAGGTGAGGTGGAGTAACAACGCCACTGAGGTGAGGTGGAGTAACAACGCCACTGAGGTGAGGTGGAGTAACAACGCCACTGAGGTGAGGTGGAGTAACAACGCCACTGACACCAGCGTGCTGTTCGGCAATCCCCACCACTGACACCAGCGTGCTGTTCGGCAATCCCCACCACTGACACCAGCGTGCTGTTCGGCAATCCCCACCACTGACACTAGCGTGCTGTCCGGCAATCCCCACCACTGACACCAGCGTGCTGTCCGGTGCCACTGCCGTGTGCTGGTGGGTGTGAGGGAGGACGAGGTGGAGAATGAGAGGTGGGAGGAGACGCGAGAGGTACGAGAGATGAGATAGGTTGGCTTAGTGCTCCACTGTGGGCGAGGGAGAGAGGAGAGAGAGAGAGGAGAGAGGAGAGAGGGGTGAGGGGGAGAGAAATACAGAAGGAAAAGCTTCACATTAGAGCCTCACATTAACTGACCAACCAAGTGCCATCCCAAGTGCCAACGTTCAATCAAACCAGGAGACCCCACCATCCCCGTCAGGAAATTCAATCAAACCAGGAGACCCCACCATCCCCGTCAGGAAATTCCAGGACATCCCCGAGCAAGAAAAGCCCATCCCCACACCAATCACGAAGGCCGTAAATAGCCCTTCCCCATGGCCCGCCTCTCCTCTCACCTGTTAGAGCTGAAAATTTTAACAGCGTTCGTAATGGCACTCTCATCCCGGGATACCCACCCTGTTAACGCCACTCTCCTGCTTCGGTTACTTCTGCTGCTGCTTCTGCCAGCACCAGCGGAGCCTGCAGCAGACGGCACGGCTCCCCTGTAAATCGCCCGCGCGCAGAGGGCCCCAGCTCCACTCCGCTCCCCCCACCCGCCCTGCCTGCTGCACTCCCCGCGCCTCCCGCGCCTCCTGTGCCTCCCGCGCCCCCTGCGCCCCGCGCGCCTGCTGTGGCCGCGTGGGCGTGAGAGGGGGCGTGACGCCTGGCGACAAGGGGGTTTCCCAGGTCCATGACGTGGTGGTGGTGGTGGTGCAGTGCAGCGAGTGCACGTCATGCGCTCACGATTTTTGAGGCGCCTCAAAAATCGTCTTTTGAGGCGCCTCAAGAAACGCCTGGCGCCAAGGGGGTTTCCCAGGTCCATGACGTGGTGGTGGTGGAGGTGGTGGTGGTGCAGCGCAGCGAGTGCACGTCATGCGCTACGAGGCCCACACCACACGAGGTGCGCAGCTGAAAGTGCACGATGGGGGACTTGACTGCACGCGTGATGTACGCGAACCCGTAGAGCGTGATGCCCGTGGTTACCTGCTGCACTTCCTCGGGGTGGACAGGCAAGAGAGGACAGAGGGAGAGAAGCGGGGTCGGTGGTAGAGTGTTAGTACGCAAACTAGTACATGACACAGGCCCCGTCGTCACCTGCTGCAATTCCTAGCTCTTACACTGCTGAAGCATGAGCGCTCACCATATCCACAACATTTAATGATACGTTGAGGTTCTTGTGGCTCTTGTATTGCTGCAGCCGCATCGCGCGGTACTTCTCCCGACTCACGTGCGACTCACGTGCAGCCACTCCCACGGGATCCCCTGAATGTCCCGCCCCCGCCGCACCTGCCGCGCGCTCACGTCCTCGGGACCTTGCACCTGGCGTCGGGGGAAGCAGGGCCCGACAGAAGAAAGGCGGGTGAAAACGGAATGGCGCGACGACGGGGAATGGCGCGACGACGGGGAATGGCGCGACGACGGGGAATGGCGCGACGACGGGGAATGGCGCGACCTGCCCTAATCCAAATCAGTCTGGCAACGAAACAACATTTGTTATAGTCGCACGCGAAGGCTGCTGATTATAATCACACCTGCCAATGCGTGGTCGCTGAATAAATGCCAGAGCCTCGCTGAGCGCCTCGTCGGCGCCTTGTGAATCCCAAGTCGTCGCTGTCGAGAACGCTCTCCTCCTCGTCGTCGTGGTGGGGGAGCAGCTGCTGTGACGGCGCTGATGTGTACGACCATTGCCGGCATCCGTGTTCTCGTGTTGTTCCATGTCCAACGGCAACCATCGACGAGAGGCCGACGGAGAATGCAGCATAGAGAAACAAAAGGTACAGACCGAGGTGAGGAGGCCACACGGAGTTGTGCAGGCCAAGAGTGCCTTGGTTGGGTTGAGCGACAAGGCGACGAGTGAAAGAGGCTGTGCGACGAACGCCAGGGAGTTCCTCCGTCCATAATTTGCTGTTTGACGACCACGGCGACTTTTGTTCAAAGCTATTTGGATGACGATTTCCGTGTGTGCATAATACTGTACGGTGCAATGGTCGTCAATCTAAGCAGCTGGTTAGCGTCCAAATGCTTCATAAACAGTATACAGCGATGTGGATGCAAAACTCTCTGTCTATAGCGAGAAATACTCGTTATAGATCTTCATGTGCACAATCTCCATCAAGTGCCACGTCCACACCGCCTTGTAGCCCAGGATTTCCCGCAATCTGAAGCTCTCATGCGAAAAAACATTTGTGCGAGGTAACCACTCGTTGACCACTCTGTTTTCGTGCATCTCACACACTCGCTCCTAAACCCCGCAACATCCCTCCACACCTTGACATCTTCTCTCGCTCGCCATTCCCATCACAAACCCTCTCCCCTCACCTCCAGCAATCTTCGCATCTCCACAAATCCTTCCAAACTTCGTACTCCATCTCTTCAGGTCAGTGCAGAATCAGCTATCGAGTCGTGACGCTCGACGATCGAGCGAAATCACTCGTTTCGCAGGGTCGAAGCATACGGCCTTGCGCGATAGAAGCGCGCGTAAGGTCGAATTTCTTAGTCGATCGGTCTCCTCGAGTCGGCGCCTGGGCTTGTGAGTCCACTGGGCGTGGGCGACAGTGGGACCGGTCTGCCCCCCCCACCATGGCGTTTCCCCCGCCAGTCGCCGTTATTTCGTCACATCTCTCCGCGTCTTTAACTGTGGCTCTTCCGGCTCCTATTCCCAAAAATCGTCCATGTTTCCGCGACTCACTCCCCTCTGCTGCCGCCGCGTCGCCGTCACGCCTGGTACACCATAGTACCGCGTCGCCGTTATCGCCGCTTTTAACAGCCGCCACTTCTTATCGCGGACACGGCCAACATTCCTCCACCGCTGCCACTACCGCCACCGCCGCCGTTGCAGACGGAGACGCGATCGCTCCCACGTTTTCCGGCGCGTCCGGCGCCATGATCCCCGCGGTTGAAGCCGCCGGGGCGAGCGCCTTCGCGGCAGTTTCGCCGTTGAGTCCTGGATCGCATGATCGTCAGAGCGGCTCGACTAGCGACGGTACCGCTGCGGCTGCTTCTGCGACTGCGCTATTGTTTCGGTCGCGTAAACCGTCGCTGCTGCGACCCAATGCCACGAATCGGCTGGAATGCGCGACAACTCGCGACTCGTCGACTGCCTTCGCGCAGAATGTCGGTCCAGGGGCGAAAAGGGTCGCCCGTGTTACCACGCAGACCGCGGGGGCGATTTCCAGCGTCCTCCGCCTGGCGCCTTCCGCCGACGCAACCCGCGGAGGAAAAGGAGACGACAGCGGGAGGAGCGGAGACGCGCAGAGGCGCAAAAGCGGGCAGGCAGAGCAGCGACGGAGGGATGGGTTATCCCGGGCGGAAGATGAGGGGAGTTTAACGGACGAGGAGGAGGAAGAGGGGCATCGGCGGAGGGTGCGTCTGGGGAAGGAGCGGCGGCTGGGGCAGCCGTGGAACTCGGGGATTTCCCCCGCCGGCCAGCGCGCGTTCCGCCGGCTGCTGCTCGGCGCGGACGGGGAGCGGGGGAAGGCGGAACGGGTGCTCAGCGCATCTGCGGAAGCGGAGGCGGAGAGGCAGCAGGGGAGGGCGGGGAATTTCGGGAGAGTGGACCGGTGGTCGCGACGAGCGCAAGGGGGGGCGGGCGATGGGCGCGCGGATGGTCCCGGATGCGATGATGGCGGACGCGCGCTGGAGCTCCGCGGAAAGGGCGGGGAAATGGCGGAGAAGGGGGGAGGGGAATCGTCGGGGGAGATATCCGCGAGTGATATAATGACGATTTTGAAGGGGTTGGGGAACAAGGGGCGGTGGCGGGATGCGCTTGCGGTTTTTCACTGGGCGCGCGGGTGCGGAAAGATTGGCGGAAGCTGCGCGGAGGGGGAAGAGGCGTGGCGGGAGCGCGGGAATCCTATGGTGTCGCTGGTGCTGCGCATTCTGAGCCGATGCGACCGCCCGAATGTGAGTGTAACGAGGGAGGTGACCAGCCGAATGTGATTGCAACGAAAGATGCGACCGGGAGCGCGCCGTACGTTAACGCGTACATCGAATGATAAGCGCGCTCTCGCTCCCCCTTCCCCTCCCCCTCCCCCTCCCCCCTCCCCCTCCCCCTCCCCCTCCCCCTCCCCCTCCCCCTCCCCCTCCCCTTCTGTTCGCCGATCCCTCCACTGCCCTTCAGCCCACCCCCCCCCCCCCTCTCCCTCCCTCTCCCGGCGCAGGAGGCGGACGATTTGTTCCGCGCGCTCGTGGCGGACGGTTGCGCGCTCGACGTGTATGCATACACGGCCATGATGAGCGCGCTCTCGCGCGCGGGGCGCTTCAACGACGCGATCGCGCTCTTCCACTCGATGCGCGCCGACGCGGGCGTGGCGCCCTCTATAGTCACATTCAACGTCGTTCTCGCGGCGTACGCGCGCAAGCGCGGGTGTTTTCACCACATGGCGTCCCTGCTGCAGGAGATCCGGACCGTTGGATTGACGCCCGATGAGTATACGTATAACACGATGATCTCGGCGTGTGCTGATGCGATTGTGAATGAGGATGCGGGGGATGTGCCTTGTGTTGCTCCTGCACTGACGGGACCGGCGGCGGGAACAGCAGCAGCAGCGGCAGGAACAGTGACGGCAGCAGTAGCAACGGCAACAGCTGCTGTAACGGCTATAGCTAGGCCAGCAGCAGGAGCAGCAGCGGTAGAAGCAGGAGCAGGAGCAGGATCAGTAGTGGTAATACAGGCGGGAGGGAAGGGAGTGTTACTAGCACAGGAAGGGTTACCAGCAGCAGGAGCAGCAGCAGCAGCGGATAGCATCAGTGACAGTAGCGAGAGTGACGCTGGCTACAGTACCAGTCACTACACGACAAACGACAGCTACAGTTCCAGCAGCAGCAGCTACAGTGTCAGCAGCAGTGCCGCCCAGTATATCCAAGAAGCAGAGCGAATCTTCGCGGAGATGCGGGCGGCAGGGCTGAAACCGACACGTGTCACGTACAACGCGCTGCTAGACGTGTACGGGAAGGCAGGCCACGTGGCACTCGCCCATTCGGTGCTGGAGTCCATGCTGGAGGCGGGCGTGCGGCCGAATCTGGTGACTTATAATGAGATGATCAGCGCGTGCGCGCGCAAGGGGCTATGGCGGGAGGCGCGCGGGATTGTGGATTCCATGCTGCGCGGAGGCGAGGCGGAAGGGGGAGAGGCGGAGGGGGAGGCGGAGGGGGAGGCGGAGGGGGAAGGGGGGAGGGGAGCGGAGGTGAAGGGGAAAGGTAAAAGGGAGGGGAAAGTGATGGTTGGGGCTGATAAGATAGAGGGAGGATCGGTGGCGGAAGGGAGAGGGAACAAGGTGGGGGAGGACGGAGGGGGCGATAGAGCAGGGGTAAGGGTTGGGGGATCAGAGCAAGAAGCTTCGAGGAAGAAGGACAGCAAGGAAGACCTCATTCTCCCTCCCAAACCGGATGTTTTTTCCTACACTGCCCTGATTGCAGCGTACGGGAAGGGCGGGCAGGTTGAAGAAGTGAGGGAAACTTATCAGACCATGCTGGAGCAGGGCTGTTTCCCGAACCTTTTCACCTTCAACATCCTGCTGGATATTTACGGGAAGAACAAGCTGTTTGCTGACGTGGCATGGGTCATGGATGAGCTGGCAACGAGCGGGATCAAGCCCGACGTGGTGACGTGGAACACCCTGATTCGTTGCTACGGTCAGTCGCAGATGCTGCCGAAAGTCGAAGCTACAGTAGAGGCGATGCGGAGATCCGGCTGCCGCCCAAATCGGCGCACTTACAACGGTCTGATCGACGCGTTTGGACGGTGCGGATCGGCCGCTGACGCAGCAGCGGTCTTCGAAGCAATGAAGTGTGCTGGGCACACGCCCAACACAGCCACCTATATCGCTCTCCTAGCCGCCCAGTCCCGAGAAGGCTTGTGGGAAGAAGCCGAAAACACAATCGAGACTATGAGACGAACCGGATACGCTCCCGATGCTCTCGCATATTATTGTCTTATTCACGCGTATGCTACAGCCGGGGATGCCAGCCGGCTGCTAGATGCAGTCTCCCGGCTGGAAGCTACCGGGAAGATTCCCAGGTCTACCTCCCCCAGGTGCCCCTGGGAGGTGCACAAGTCGCTGGTTTTGGCGTTTTGCAAGTGTGGGTGTGTGGGGGAGGCGGAGGGGGCATTAGAGAGGATGAGGGGGATGGGGCATGTGCCCGATCTGGTGGTGTGGAATGCGGTGCTGGGGATGTACGGGCGGTTGGGGAGGGTGGAGAGGGCGGAGAGGGTGAGGGGGGAGATGAGGCGAGAGGGAGTGGGAGGGGACGTGGTGACTCATAATGTGATGATGAGTGTGTATGGGCGGGAGGGCATGAGTGAGAGTGTGGAGCGGGAATTTGAAGGCATGAAGACAAGAGGTGTTTCTCCGGATGCTGTGTCGTTCTCCTCGGTGGTTCTCACCCTCTGGTGAGTGCTTTTATTTTTTCGGTATGGTGAGTGCTGTGTTGGGTACAGTTAGTGCTACATTCAGCAGGGCATAATGTGATCATGAGTGTGTATGGGAGGGAGGGCATGAGTGAGAGCGTGGAGCTCCGGAGTCCGGACATACTCCAGAGGGTGGAGCGTGGAGCGTGGAGTTTGAGGGGATGAAGGCCAGAGGGGTTGCTCCGGACGCTGTCTCATACTCCTCTGTGCTCCTCACTCTCTGGTGAGTGCTGTGTTGGTCGGTATGATGAGTGCTGTGTTGTTCGGTAGCTGTGGTGTGTGGTTGGTGTTGAGTGAGAGTGTGGAGCGCGAGTTTGAAAGCATGAAGGCCAGGGGAGTTGCTCCGGACGCTGTCTCATGCTCCTCTGTGCTCCTCACTCTCTGGTGAGCTAAGTATCACTGGTAGTTTGTTGTGGTGCTAAGTTAACGTAATTAGCTATGGCAATTCGCTCAGGCAGCAGTCACTCCCTACGTGGCTGAGTGCGAGGCTAGCGCTCTCTCTTTCCCCCGCTCCACCGTTCACCCCATTGCCTGGTGCCTCTTGGATTCTCAATGCCATTGTGTTTTTGAGAATTCTCAAAAACTCCCTACGAGGCTAGCGCTCTCTCTTTCCCCCGCTCCACCGTTCACCCCATTGCCTGGTTTCTCTTGGATTCGCACTGCCATTGTGTTTTTGAGAATTCTCAAAAACTCCCTGCGAGGCTAGCGCTCTCTCTTTCCCCCGCTCCACCGTTCACCCCAATGCCTGGTGCCTCTTGGATTCTCAATGCCATTGTGTTTTCCCTCGCAGCAAGGTGGGGAGAGTGGAGACGGGGAGTCCTTACGTGGCAGGGTGCGAGGCAGCCGGCTCTCTCCCCTTTGCCGCTCAACTCAATGCCATTGTGTTTTCCCTCGCGGCAAGGTGGCGAGAGTGGAGGCAGCACGCCGTTACGTGGCAGGGTGCGAGGCAGGGTGTGAAGCAGCCGGCTCTCTCCCCTTCGCTGCTCAACTCAATGCTCCTCTCTTTTGTGCTTTGGCCTCCAATCCTCTTGCTTCCCCTCACAGCACGCCGTTACGTGGCAGGGTGCGAGGCAGCCGGCTCTCTCCCCCTCTCCCCTTCGCCGCTCAACTCAATGCTCCTCTCTTTTGTGCTTTGGCCTCCAATCCTCTTGCTTCCCCTCACAGCACGCCGTTACGTGGCAGGGTGCGAGGCAGCCGGCTCTCTCCCCCTCTCCCCTTCGCCGCTCAACTCAATGCTCCTCTCTTTTGTGCTTTGGCCTCCAATCCTCTTGCTTCCCCTCACAGCACGCCGTTACGTGGCAGGGTGCGAGGCAGCCGGCTCTCTCCCCCTCTCCCCTTCGCCGCTCAACTCAATGCTCCTCTCTTTTGTGCTTTGGCCTCCAATCCTCTTGCTTCCCCTCACAGCACGCCGTTACGTGGCAGGGTGCGAGGCAGCCGGCTCTCTCCCCCTCTCCCCTTCGCCGCTCAACTCAATGCTCCTCTCTTTTGTGCTTTGGCCTCCAATCCTCTTGCTTCCCCTCACAGCACGCCGTTACGTGGCAGGGTGCGAGGCAGCCGGCTCTCTCCCCCTCTCCCCTTCGCTGCTCAACTCAATGGCCCTCTCTTTTGTGCTTTGGCCTCCAATCCTCTTGCTTCCCCTCACAGCACGCCGTTACGTGGCAGGGTGCGAGGCAGCCGGCTCTCTCCCCCTCTCCCCTTCGCCGCTCAACTCAATGCTCCTCTCTTTTGTGCTTTGGCCTCCAATCCTCTTGCTTCCCCTCACAGCACGCCGTTACGTGGCAGGGTGCGAGGCAGCCGGCTCTCTCCCCCTCTCCCCTTCGCTGCTCAACTCAATGGCCCTCTCTTTTGTGCTTTGGCCTCCAATCCTCTTGCTTCCCCTCACAGCACGCCGTTACGTGGCAGGGTGCGAGGCAGCCGGCTCTCTCCCCCTCTCCCCTTCGCCGCTCAACTCAATGCTCCTCTCTTTTGTGCTTTGGCCTCCAATCCTCTTGCTTCCCCTCACAGCACGCCGTTACGTGGCAGGGTGCGAGGCAGCCGGCTCTCTCCCCCTCTCCCCTTCGCTGCTCAACTCAATGGCCCTCTCTTTTGTGCTTTGGCCTCCAATCCTCTTGCTTCCCCTCACAGCACGCCGTTACGTGGCAGGGTGCGAGGCAGCCGGCTCTCTCCCCCTCTCCCCTTCGCCGCTCAACTCAATGCTCCTCTCTTTTGTGCTTTGGCCTCCAATCCTCTTGCTTCCCCTCACAGCACGCCGTTACGTGGCAGGGTGCGAGGCAGCCGGCTCTCTCCCCCTCTCCCCTTCGCCGCTCAACTCAATGCTCCTCTCTTTTGTGCTTTGGCTCCCACTCCTCTTGCTCCCCCTCACAGCAAGGTGGGAAGAGTGGAGGCGGGGAGTGGTTACGTGGCAGAGTGCGAAGCAGTTGCCCTCTCTCTCTCCCCTGCTGCTTTTAACACCTTTGCCTTGAACACCACCTTTGCTTTGCTTTGTTTCTCTTTGACTGAAACCCCCACCGGCAGCAAGGTGGGGAGAGTGGAGGCGGCGAGTCGCTACGTGGCAGAGTGGGAAGTAGCTGCCCTCTCGCTCTCCCCTGCGGTGCTCAACTCAATGCCTCTTTTGTCTGTGACTCTGCTTCCCCATACCCATGTGTTCCCGTCGCAGCAAGGTGGGAAGAGTGGAAGCAGCATCTCGCTACGTGGCAGAGTGTGAAGCAGCTGCCCTCTCGCTCTCCCCTGCTGCGCTCAACGCCTTTGCCTCGGGCTGCATTTCTGCTGGGCGGCCCACTGATGCTGTCAGGGCGATGGAGAGTGCTGAAAGAAGGGCCGGCAGGTGAGCCGTTTCTGTGAGGGAAGGAAGGTCATAGATGCAGAAACTCACACTCAGGGGCACTGGCCGCTGTGAACGTCTTTGCTTCGGGCTGCATTTTTGCTGGACGGCCCACTGATGCTGTCAGAGCGATGGAAGCAGCAGAAAGGAGAGCCGGCAGGTGAGCAGCAAGCAAGGGTGGGAAGGTGTGAGAGACAGAAACTCAGGGCACTGGCAGCGCTGAACGCCTTTGGCGTCGAGCTCTCTGGCTGCATTTCTGCTGGGCGGCCCACTCACGCCGTGAGGGCGATGGAAGCAGCCGAAAGACGTGCTGGCAGGTGAGCAAGTGAGCGGGTGAGCCAGTGTGAGAGTGCCTCTCTCACGAGAGTGACACACGAGAGTGACACACGAGAGTGACACATGAAAGTGAGAGATAGGGAGTGGGTGGTGTGTGTGCTTCGGGCTGCCTGGCTGCTGGGCGGCCCACTGACGCCGTCAGGGTGATGGAAGCAGCAGAAAGACGGGCTGGCAGGTGAGCAAGTGAGCGGGTGAGAGATCGAGTACCAGGAACAGGACTGCAGGAAAGAGTTCGAGAGTGGATGGTGTATGCCATGCTCTGCGCATGTATGTATGAGTGGATGGTGTATGCCATGGTCTGCGCATATATGTATGAGTGGATGGTGTATGCCATGGTTGCCACTGCTGCCCCCACATGCTGCCACTGCTGCCCCCACATGCTGTCACTGCTGCCCCCACATGCTGCCACTGCTGCCCCCACATGCTGTCACTGCTGCCCCCACATGCTGTCACTGCTGCCCCCACATGCTGTCACTGCTGCCCCCACATGCTGTCACTGCTGCCCCCACATGCTGTCACTGCTGCCCCCACATGCTGTCACTGCTGCCCCCACATGCTGTCACTGCTGCCCCCACATGCTGTCACTGCTGCCCCCACATGCTGTCACTGCTGCCCCCACATGCTGCCACTGCTGCCCCCACATGCTGTCACCGCTGCCCCCACATGCTGTCACTGCTGCCCCCACATGCTGTCACTGCTGCCCCCACATGCTGCCACTGCTGCCCCCACATGCTGTCACTGCTGCCCCCACATGCTGTCACTGCTGCCCCCACATGCTGTCACTGCTGCCCCCACATGCTGTCACTGCTGCCCCCACATGCTGTCACTGCTGCCCCCACATGCTGTCACTGCTGCCCCCACATGCTGTCACTGCTGCCCCCACATGCTGTCACTGCTGCCCCCACATGCTGTCACTGCTGCCCCCACATGCTGTCACTGCTGCCCCCACATGCTGTCACTGCTGCCCCCACATGCTGTCACTGCTGCCCCCACATGCTGTCACTGCTGCCCCCACATGCTGTCACTGCTGCCCCCACATGCTGTCACTGCTGCCCCCACATGCTGTCACTGCTGCCCCCACATGCTGTCACTGCTGCCCCCACATGCTGTCACTGCTGCCCCCACATGCTGTCACTGCTGCCCCCACATGCTGTCACTGCTGCCCCCACATGCTGTCACTGCTGCCCCCACATGCTGTCACTGCTGCCCCCACATGCTGTCACTGCTGCCCCCACATGCTGTCACTGCTGCCCCCACATGCTGTCACTGCTGCCCCCACATGCTGTCACTGCTGCCCCCACATGCTGTCACTGCTGCCCCCACATGCTGTCACTGCTGCCCCCACATGCTGTCACTGCTGCCCCCACATGCTGTCACTGCTGCCCCCACATGCTGTCACTGCTGCCCCCACATGCTGTCACTGCTGCCCCCACATGCTGTCACTGCTGCCCCCACATGCTGTCACTGCTGCCCCCACATGCTGTCACTGCTGCCCCCACATGCTGTCACTGCTGCCCCCACATGCTGTCACTGCTGCCCCCACATGCTGTCACCGCTGCCCCCACATGCTGTCACTGCTGCCCCCACATGCTGTCACTGCTGCCCCCACATGCTGTCACTGCTGCCCCCACATGCTGTCACTGCTGCCCCCACATGCTGTCACTGCTGCCCCCACATGCTGTCGCCGCTGCCCCCACATGCTGTCACCGCTGCCCCCACATGCTGTCACTGCTGCCCCCACATGCTGTCACTGCTGCCCCCACATGCTGTCACTGCTGCCCCCACATGCTGTCACTGCTGCCCCCACATGCTGTCACTGCTGCCCCCACATGCTGTCACCGCTGCCCCCACATGCTGTCACTGCTGCCCCCACATGCTGTCACTGCTGCCCCCACATGCTGTCACTGCTGCCCCCACATGCTGTCACTGCTGCCCCCACATGCTGTCACTGCTGCCCCCACATGCTGTCACTGCTGCCCCCACATGCTGTCACCGCTGCCCCCACATGCTGTCACTGCTGCCCCCACATGCTGTCACTGCTGCCCCCACATGCTGTCACTGCTGCCCCCACATGCTGTCACCGCTGCCCCCACATGCTGTCACTGCTGCCCCCACATGCTGTCGCCGCTGCCCCCACATGCTGTCACCGCTGCCCCCACATGCTGTCACTGCTGCCCCCACATGCTGTCACTGCTGCCCCCACATGCTGTCACTGCTGCCCCCACATGCTGTCACTGCTGCCCCCACATGCTGTCACTGCTGCCCCCACATGCTGTCACCGCTGCCCCCACATGCTGTCACTGCTGCCCCCACATGCTGTCACCGCTGCCCCCACATGCTGTCACCGCTGCCCCCACATGCTGTCACTGCTGCCCCCACATGCTGTCACTGCTGCCCCCACATGCTGTCACTGCTGCCCCCACATGCTGTCACTGCTGCCCCCACATGCTGTCACTGCTGCCCCCACATGCTGTCACTGCTGCCCCCACATGCTGTCACTGCTGCCCCCACATGCTGTCACTGCTGCCCCCACATGCTGTCACTGCTGCCCCCACATGCTGTCACTGCTGCCCCCACATGCTGTCACTGCTGCCCCCACATGCTGTCACTGCTGCCCCCACATGCTGTCACTGCTGCCCCCACATGCTGTCACTGCTGCCCCCACATGCTGTCACTGCTGCCCCCACATGCTGCCACTGCTGCCCCCACATGCTGTCACTGCTGCCCCCACATGCTGCCACTGCTGCCCCCACATGCTGTCACTGCTGCCCCCACATGCTGTCACTGCTGCCCCCACATGCTGTCACTGCTGCCCCCACATGCTGTCACTGCTGCCCCCACATGCTGTCACTGCTGCCCCCACATGCTGTCACTGCTGCCCCCACATGCTGTCACTGCTGCCCCCACATGCTGTCACTGCTGCCTCCACATGCTGTCACTGATAGAATTCAAGAGTATGATTAGTAATGAGCCAACAAGGCTCTATAATACAAGCATGCAAGGAAGAGAAGGTTGTAGGAGGAGCTAACCCTATTGGCCAATAAGTTGGCCAATGGGTGAGGTGCCTTGTGGAGTAGGCAACCTCACAATGTGGCTAGGTTGGGATTGGTTGGTCTAAGGACCAAAAGTTGGCAAGTGCCAACCAAGGGCCAAGACCAAATCCAATCTTGACCAACCACAAAGTGTGGTTGGAGTGTACACCCAACCCCACAAGAACCTAAAGGACTACACCTATTCTAGCCTATGAATGTTGTATATAGTGTACAATTACAACACAACCCCCCAACATGCATAAGGCTAGAAGATGTAATCAGGAGGCCGTCACAACTGGAGGAGGGGTGAGGCCAAAGAGACGCAGAAAGAAGGAGTGAGGTGCTTGGGGAAGAGCTTTAGTGAAGATGTCAGCGAGGTTGGCCGCCGAGTCGATCTTGCCAAGGCGAAGGTGCCCGGCCTCAACGAGATCACGAATGAAGAAGTAGCGAAGTTCAATGTGTTTGGAACGCCCATGATACACAGCATCCTTAGTGAGGTGAATGGTGCTGGCATTGTCACACCAGATTGTGGGACAACGCTGGGGTGCACCAAGCTCATCGAGGAGGAAGGTGAGCCAGCGCGCCTCCTGCGCAGCCATGGTTGCAGCGTAGAGCTCTGCTTCGCAGGAGGAGAGGGCGACGGCAGAGGAGCGTGTGGACCGCCAGCTGATGAGACCGCTACCCAGAGAGAAGCCATATCCCTGAGAGGACCGCCTGTCCGGGCGAGAGTCAGCCCAGGAAGAATCACTGTAGCCATTGAGGAGGGGATGGGAGGGGCCGCCAAGGATAGAAACATAGTCTTTTGTGCCACGAATGTAGCGAAGGACGCGCTTGGCGGCCTGCCAGTGTTCCTCTGTGTGCTTGCCAGCGCCAACGAAGCGAGCGAGGACGCTGATGGGGTAGGCAAGGTCAGGACGAGTGGAAACCATGGCATACATGAGAGAGCCGATGAGTTCAGGATAAGGATGGGAGGAGGCAGAGGGTGAGGAGGGTGGGGAGAGGTGGTGCCCAACTGAGAGTGGAGTGGGCTGGGGGCTGCCGCGCGCCATTTCAAACCGGTCCAAGACTTGCTGGAGATAGTGACCCTGAGAGAGGGAGATGGTGCGGGCGGAGCGGTCGCGAGTGATGGTCATGCCGAGGTAGTGCTGCAGCTCTCCCAAATCTTTGCACTTGAGCCGTGTGCCCAGCTCGGTCTTGACTTTCTCGAGCTCGGCAAGATCGGCGGTGAGGAGAATCATATCGTCAACATAGACGAGGATGTAGAAGGGGGAGGGGGAGGTGCGGAGGAAGAGGCTGGCGTCAGAGCGGGAGGTGTGAAACCCAAGCTCGGCAAGGGTGGCAGCAAGCTTGGCATGCCATTCCCTGGGTGCCTGGCGGAGCCCGTACACTGGTTGGCGCAGCTGCCAGACGGAGTCGGCGGGGAAGGGGAGGTGGAAGCCCGCTGGGCGCTCCATGTAGATCAGTTCACGTAGCACGCCTTGCAGGAAGGCGTTGGAGACATCCATCGAGTGGATCTCCATGTTGAGGCGAGCGGCGAGGTCGAGTACGGCGCGAACGGTAGCAGGTTTGGCGGTGGGGGAGAAGGTGTCGAAGAAGTCAAAGCCATACCGCTGCGTGAAGCCCTTGGCGCAATACCGGG